AGAGCCTTGCGCCTGAGCTGTGGGAAGCTGCAAGAACTTGCCGAGTCTGTACAGGCAAAAACGATCGAAATTTCAAGGGTCAAGGAGTGCCTGGCCATCATGCGAGCGAATGCCAGAACTGCAAGAGATCGAATATCTGTGCAGCTGGGGCAAGACTCAAGTGGCTGTTTTCTATCGAGTTGATATGGCTCGGATTGTGCTGGAAAATCAAGCCTGGAGTGTTCTTTGTCTCTGCCAATTACACAGTATCGCATCGAATACGATACATTACAAATGAACCATAGTTATCTAATCTTTGAAGATTCTTGAAAGTTGCTGTGATAGGCTTCTTAATGATCAAGTCCGTTCTTTAATGCCAAAATCTTCAATTTCCCCCAGCATAAATCAACCAAATGTACAACCAGCCCTGATACGGAAATAGACCTAATGCGGTACCTGACATGGGCAAACGCATGTGAACTCCGTAAGGCAAAATCGTTGACCCTGAGTCTCGATTGATTAGAATTATGTCAATAATTGGGCTGGTAACGTAATTCCCGGTTAAGCCGGACACCCGGTTAAACCGGACACCCAACCAAAATCGCGTCCCTCTCTCTACACGCTCCGCTTCAACCAGCAAATATGCCGCCAAAACGCTCTGAATCCTGGCAAAAATCTGCTGAGCAGGAGGGCAAGATCCTTCTAGCTATTGAGGATCTTCAGAAGGGCAATATCAAATCTCTACGCGCAGCGGCCACGCTATACAAAATACCGCTCTCTATAATGTATGACCGCGCCGCAGGCGTATCCTCACGCGTGGATAAATACCACCACCGGCAAAAATTGACTCAGCTTGAAGAGGATTCGCTTACTGAGTGGATTATCTCTCTGGATTCGCGTGGAGCAGCGCCGCGGCCGTCTACCGTACGCGAAATGGCGAATATTCTACTTGCGGCGCGTGGCGAGACACCCCCGAGTACCGTTGGCAAGAATTGGCTATCAACCTTTATTCAACGCCGCGATGAGATTCGTACGCGCTTCTCAAGACGATACGACTACCAGCGCGCCCTAAACGAGGATCCCCGATCGATTCGCGCGTGGTTTGAGAGCGTAAAGCGCGTGGTAGAAGAGAACGGTATCCTCGCGGAGGATATTTACAACTTTGATGAGACTGGCTTTGCGATGGGCCTTATATCGTCACAGAAGGTAGTTACTCGAGCTGAATACTACGGTCGGCGCTCTATCCTACAGCTAGGAAACCGCGAATGGGTTACTGCTATCGAAGCTATCTGTGCTGATGGCTACTCGCTTCCGCTATGCGTGATATTTCAAGGCAAAGTTTATATCGCCGGTTGGTTTGAATCAAATCTACCGGGCGATTGGCGAATCGAGGTCTCGAACAACGGTTGGACTACTGATGAGATAGGCCTTCGCTGGCTACAAAAGCACTTTATACTATATACAAATTCGCGCGTACGAGGTCGATATCGGCTATTGATTCTTGATGGCCACGGCAGCTACCTTACGCCTTAATTCGACCGGGTCTGCGCTGAGAATGATATTATTCCTCTTTGTATGCCTTCGCATTCTTCACATCTACTCTAACCGCTTGACGTTGCATTTTTTGCGCCGCTTAAGCGAGCATACAGTCGCTTCGTAAGCGACCTTGCCCGATGTGGCTATAACCACATCGATAAGTTCGACTTTCTCGCAGACTACCCTCGCGCTCGAGCTGAGGCTTTTAAACCGCAGACTATCCAGACTAGCTTTGCTGCTACTGGTATTACACCGTTTGAGCCAGAGCGTGTGCTAGCTAAGCTAAATATCTCGCTCAATACGCCACCACCACCAGCTAGCCTGTTAAGGGGTCTGTATCGCAGGACAGAGGACCTGTTGGCTAGGCAGAGAGTCCAAGTCTATGGGGTCTGATTTCAAAGACTGAATCTTGGGGTCTGGCAGGCTCCACCAGTTCCCACAATATATACATAGAGGTTCCACGTACCGAGTCCCCACAGCCCCACACAGAGCTCTTGGGGTTGTTACCCTAAGACGACGCGGGGTCGATTCGATCGTGAATCGTCTTGAGTCACCACGTATGACTTGCGCCGTGACATAGCCGGCCAAGCAGCAGATCTAGCCAATTCACACCAAAAACACCTAAAACAGTGGTCTAGCTACAAAGGCAGGCTACCTTACTTGAGAATCTATTAAAACAGCGGTCAAATAGCCCTCCGTCACCCTCAAAAACAGCTGTGGATCAGATTATCAAAGGTGCTTATTTATCAATGCATAACGCTGCGATATTAGCGCAAGAGAACGCCGATTTACGCCGCGCGAATGAGAAGAAACGCCAGAAACGTACACGCTCGCATCGGCAGATAGCTCACGAAGAAGGCCTAACTATCGCAGAGGGTCTGCAGCTAGCTCAGCAGCCAGAGCAGCTAGTAGAAGAGGACCAGTTGGTATCGCATGAGGCAGGCGAATCGGCGAATCAGGCAGATTTGCCACGCAAAAGGGCTCCGGCAAGGTGTAGTGGGTGTGGGGAGTTAGGCCATAAGATAAACCGATGTAATAAGCGCTAATTTGAGATGAATTAATATTGTTTTGGTTGAATTATCTTGATTCAAAGATTCCTGTTGGTGGTGAGTGCCCGGTTTAACCGGGTGTCCGGCTTAACCGGGAATTACGTTATAACGTACCAATACGGTGTTGCCGCATTGAGGTCGACTCATTTCGGTGGCGGTGGTGGTGCCCCTGGCTGTTTAAGACCGGTCGTATCGTAGGCGCCTCGACTCAGCTTGAAGGGCGTGCTGGCAAGCATGTTTCTATCAAAAATTTGCGGAAGGATCGAATAGCTGGTAGAATAACTTTTTAGGTGCAGAGCTAATTAGTAAACAGTAGGTGTGACAAAGGACTATTTAAGTGCTGGTATTTTTGTCCGATCTGGTCAAAGCCATTTACCAACCGGATATAGCAAGTGCTAGGAACGATATGAGACAGCTCCAGGGGAACATGTAGACATAACAGACCGGATCCTACCTGTGCCTTGGGAACGAGATCGGCCTTGACCTGGCAGGGGCTCAGGATGCGGAGGGGCGGCGGAAGGAAATGATCGCAGTAAAATTTTTAAATATTACCTCATCTTAGTTTGAAACGCCAATGCAAGGCGATACATAGCGCCATCATTTCTGGATTTTGACGGATTGGTTGAAATAGAACTTACAATTAGGTCAGCTCACTGAGTCCACGCATGTTCTGGCCAACGCCCATACTCAGGTCCGGAACAGTGTTGCCGACCCCCGTACATTGTGTGCCTCCAAGATAATTCCAATTACTAGCGGGGCGGACTGCTGGGACCCACGGATTAATCTGTCATAGTATACTGAAGATGATTATGAGTAGCAATGTGAACCCGTCATATCAGGATATCGGTGCCTCAGATTTCGGCCGTGCTAGATCGTCATTCATAATTTCAACCACTTCCACAATCCTGCTTTCAATGATCATCCAAGGTATACCATATAAAGAAAGAGAATAACATAAGAATTGCAGTCATCCGCCTCATTCTAGAGAATGCTGGGAAGAAATTTGCCTGTCATCAATGTTTTTGTTCATGCACCGACATTATTTCTGTCAGAGAACATTTGGAAATAATGAAGTGGAATGAAGAGCACAAGTACTTGATGCAAGCGGAAAATATCAAGTTCGATCTTGAGCATGTTGTTATACAGAAAACACAGGATTCGATGTCCGAGCTTCGATGTCTTCCAGCAATTGCCGAAGCATCTGGGATTGTATCCACAATGCGGTGATGGGGACTTTGAATATTTTACGAAGATGAATGCGTTTCGACTCATTGTTGGAGAAAGGACGGTAAAAGACACATGGACTTCATTTCCTTCAATCGAGTGAAATTCGGGGAAGCTTATTCTAGAGCTACGGGACACAATATTCGAGTTACCCAAAGTCGAATCAGTGAGGAATTGATCCGAATCACCTATGTTCTTCAAAACAAGACTGTTCGTGTACAAGCACTACCCCGCAAATAATATCTAAACTGACATCGAGAATAATTACAAGCGCCCGAGTAATCTCATCTGGATTGACATAAGATCAGTGTGTCCAGAAATCCCCAAAACCTTTTTTTCCAGTCGATCAAAACGCATTCAGTGCGCGACTTAAAGCAAACAACAGATTATAAAAAAGCCCTGTGCTCGGGCCAATAAGTGAAGTTGGCGGCTAATAAAAGGCCGGTTCTTGGAGTAGGCATGAGACGAAAAGCCTCAGGTGCTCAGCCTTTTTAATCATCTAATAAGGCGCTACAATTAGCTGCACATGCGAGTTCGCTGCGACTATGGGATTTTTGCCGAAGCTAACTTGAGCCCCAAGTTGATAGCTTTACCATTGGCTCTTCCAAATAGAGGACGGACGCAGGACCAGGGGCAGGGGCCGACGAGAAACGAACTCCGCCTCTACATAAGTACGTCATATTCCATCCTACATATGGATTATTACCGCCGAACTTCAAGTCTTGACACTTACCTTCAGCCAGCGTCTCACCGGCCGCAAACCCTTTTTCCTCCCTGAATTCAACTACCATCATCGCGAGGTTTGCTTTTTTACGCATCTATTCAGTCTCATATCAAGATTTAATTACTTCATTGGTGCTATGAAGCGCTCCACCTCACAGTCGCCTATTGATCCAAGCTTGATTAAACGGCATCGTCCTGGAAGTGCGGAAAGTATTTGTACCCCTGTACAAAGGCTTATGATACCTAGCCTCTTATATCCACATACTGTTCAGTCAAGATACCCTCTACACGTTATGTCGTAATATGTGTTGATGACGAGGGTAACTTAGGGGTGAAATAGTCTGGTTCTTCCCAGGAGGAACTTCAATTGTTGTTTTTCCCGAGGCACGCAAAAACTTACTTGAGATACTTCAATGCTAAATTGACCTTCATCCTGCGACTGATTGTATGTCAATAAGCTTTGCATATAACTCGTCTACCTATCTCAGGATGATTGGCTTCTCAGATACATCAAGCGACGGCCCAGGAGTGGGCTCGGCTAGTGATGGCGATATGAACGTTAGCAAAAATCATTTGGCTCCCTTAAATTTAGCAAATACGCAAGAGGTCATGAAATACTATGAGAGTGCTTTTGATTACTTTCTACAGCTGAACTGTCGCGTGGTTGCTAAGGCATCCATCAAAGCCATCGAGCCGAAAAAAGAAAAGCAAATACCCGTACAATGGTAAGCAGCCACGACCAAGGCCCTACGATCCAGAAAATAATAAGTTCAAGTGGTGGCCATCTGATGCCAATCACAAAGAGCCTGATCATTTATTCAAGGAGGGTACGTTGGCATCTCTTTTCCTTCCATTTTGAATTCTGCTCATGCTTTGTCATAGACCGCATTAAGCTTTTGATCCATATGCTTTGCAATGTCAGAAACGATAGTCTCCCTATTGACAAGCTACGAGAGGCAGCTCTTGAAACTAAGTTGAGCCTGAAGCGTCCTTCTCATATAGAGATTATCAAAGAGATTCTTGATGTTCACCAGGAACAAGAGAACTATCAGAAGGACAAAGGAGGTAAGTCACAGCGGGAGTACTGGGTTCTGTTCAAAATTAACAAACGTTGTCACAGGCGAAAGTTCAGTTGTTTATGCCAAGTTCGAAAGAACTAACACTGGTGCTGAGAAGGAAATGGCAACCCCAAATCAAGTCCATGCGATATTGCCACCCAATCAATCTTCTTGAAGGCAAACAGGAGCACTAGTGCAATATCGAGCGTACTTTTGAATGCAATGTGCAAGATAGATGGCATTTTTTGTCGGTGTGGAGCCAGAATACGAAGACCAATGGCGTCAATTCGCATCATGCATGGACAGGGGGAAGATATAGCCCACCACCAGCTTGGAGCAAGAGCAAAAAGAGCATATGCAGCCTATTAAGAGGATCCTCTTTTCTCGATTGAAAGTTCAAATCTGACCTTCCAGGTGCTCACAAGATTTCCAGTTCGCCGTCCTGTCATGCTTTATTCAGTGGCAGAGAATCAAAGTCTCTATCTCAAGAAAGACTTGCAAGTTAATTTATACTGTACAATAGACTGCTCTGGCTGTCATGAAGCAACTGGGTAGCAAAAATGGTAGCTTTAGGCCTGACATTTCCTTTCTCGACTCTTCTTTATCCCATTCACGGTGACCATTTGGTTTTGTGCGCTTACAGTAATCTTGAGCACTACAGTATTGGTTGTGAAAGAAATAGTTTGAGGAACGGAGGACATAAATTTGAGGGAGAGACCAAAATTGTGAATGGTAACATATTCCGATACAAACAACGTGACAGGGGGTCATGGTGAACCTCGTATCTGCGTCCCGCGCAAAGTGACTAGAGCTCACCTCTCTCGCTGATGAACATTTGCCGATGTGGCTTCGGACGAAGCCGAGCCAGCCATCCAAAGCGATCGCATGCTTGTGCCTGGTTGGCCTTTTGGTGAGGATTAATACCCGCTGCTCTCTTCAATTGACCTCTTTCAAGCTTGTTGGGCTTGCGAGGGATCCACCAAGCTTCCGGCGCGGGGATGCTGTGGCGGAGTCGCAGTCGAATGGTGGCCTGGGATTTGACAGCCTTTCCTGAAGTAATAATTCGGATCTCCGAAAAGAAGGATAAGACTAGTACGACGATCGGCTCAAAATGCAGCCTAGAACATCTGCTTAGTATGTTTACCGCGATGCGGTAGACCCTGGCACTGATGCATCTTTGGTTGATCATGAGGACGTATAAACGTCCACCCAGGGCGGGCTCCAATAACACGCTCAATCGTACACTCATCTGACCAGTAAAAGCGTGCCCATTCAGCTGGTTTATAGTGCTGATGTCGGTGCGCGTACTGAAGTCTTCCGATAGCGCGTTCCTCATCAAGATAGGGTCGCCACATACAGCGCCACTTGCGCATATTATGCGCGTTAATAGGCGGCGAATTGAATTGTATTTGACCTCATGATCAATTTCAGTAAGTAGATCTTCCTGAGTAACGCGTGAATTATCTTGGACCGTACTGATAAGGTGCGATTTCTCTAATTTGGATAGCTCGTAGGGACGCCCGCTGCGCGGTTTTGATACGTAATCTTGCCGCTCCGGATTCTTGAAAGGGGGATATAAGGATGTCTCTTATGGATACGCTCATAGCCCCAGCCCATATCATGTAGTTCGCAGATTCGCGCGCGAAGAGTAGGCGTAAGCTCACTAGACCGCGCCATTTGTAGGCAGCTTGATAGACAGCTTCAAGTGTTAGATTAGTCTAGTTGTATCATCATCTAATTTAAGAACTCTCTAGAGCTAACGCGCAAGACGCGTCCAAGCGAGCTCGCACATACGCGTATATGGTAGGCGGTAGGGGATGAACCAGGCGGTCAAGAGTGGTGTGGGGCTAGGGTGTTAAAATTTTGGAACATCACTGTACATGGACAGGTAGTATAGGGGAACACGGAGTAACCACGTAGCGTGTCTCTGACTCATATGGTAGCGAGCACACGGGCCCAAAATCACGCCCCCCCAATGGACAGAAAAGGGCTCGCAACCGCCGCGAACGCGCGAGAGAAGCCACTCCACCAGTCTACTGATGCACCCGCTAGACCTTAACTCTCAGGTCTACGGAGATAAGATTCCTCGCACCTCCGTCCTCGAAAATTTGAGATTCTCTGCCCGGCACGGAGTTTTTCTTGCCAGCTAATCGGACGGATGTTGGTACTGCAAGTGTTGCACTCCCGCCCTAAAAGCCAGGGGATCGCCAAAGGATGCTATTTACAGCTGCCGCAGGAAACCGCTAATTTCTTGGCACAAAAAGACCACGGCCAGACTTCCGCCATTTCGATCACTCCATGCATGGGCCACTATGATCATTATCGAGCTCCTGACATAAGCATCGTAGATCCATCCTCCAGGAAGCTTAATTGATGTCACATCACAACTGTCATCCATTCAACGTATGTTCTCTCGACGGGCAACTAACTGTCCATCCATGTAATTTTACCACCGAAATAAATACGCAAAAACGATAGCGATATTTGAATATTTTAAGAGACCAAATACCCTGATCAGCAAATAGATAGATGAATGAACCAACCGCCGATCCTACGCCAGCACTTGATTGGCTGTGTGTTGATTGACGCTCCCCACTGAGCATATTTCAGGCGCTCGGTTCAGGTGTTTGGAGTCTTCCCGCTTGATAGGGTATTCAGACGGCGCCAATGAGAGCCACAAGTGATAACGGCAGCGCGACTGGCTACCTAACCTCTTACGACGTAGGACTATCATTTACGTGGTCAGGAAGTTGAGCAAGTAGTACAGATTTAGTAAGGAGAAGAAGGGGGAATTGTTGATATCAGAAACTGGATGTATCGCGGTTCAAACGGGATGCGGTAAATCTTGCACATGTTTGCACCACGAGATGCTCATGATGTCAAGCCGCAGTCGGCGAATTGAGGTGGCGTAATGGAGGTGTCCATCGGATGGTGGCCATGTATCACAGGAAGCGGAGCGGTTGAGTTTGCCCAGGCATCCTGATATATCGTTGAGCCCGGTAAATACATGCCATTTCGTTTGTTTTGAAGAACGTCAAGCATTTTGCCAACCTGACTAGCCGTTGTAAGGAGACTGCTTTGTGCGTGTTGTAGCACTGGGAAAACCTCGCTCCACGCTATCTGGTGCTGACTCGTGGTGCTAGCCACATCCAAGGCCTGCTTCGTTTGGAGTAGCTGCTTCTCCAACTCGCCTTTCTCATCAAGAGCCATTTTCGCCTGGCTCTTGAGCCGGTCGACTTGGCTCGTCATACGGCTTACATCATCTTATAATTCTTGAAGAGCCTGCGACGACTCGAATCGTTCTTCCTCCATGCTTGCGTGTTGCTCTACCGAAGCCTGGTCGGCCTCCGCTGAAAGGGTCAAGCACTTCCGGTAAAATTCGTCGACCGTTGGCTTTCTTCCTTTAAAGGATTCCTAAAGATTCTTTGTCGGCAAAGATCTTTGAGTCAAGGAACGCGAGAAGCGCGTAGCCATACTGCCATTCTTTGCAACTTCACTACACCGGACAAGGCTTTTTCTTTGGAGCCTGCCCCTGATGACATAGATCGTGTAGCCCGATTGGGGGCATTGCTAGAACTGGACCTCTTTTTCGCTGCGACTGCAGGGGCTGGAATCGCTGGCTTCTGCGACGATGGAAGTTTCCCCATCCTGGACAGCCTGAATGGCCGTAGACTTGTTCCCTTCAACGAAAGACCAGAGATTGAGTAAATGGAATTCTACAAGGTCGTGAGAGGACATACTTTGGTTTAAATGATTTCCTCTTGCTCTTGTCAACACTCATGAACATCGTTGGTGTTAGTGTTCCCTTGGACTAGCTCACCACCCACCACTGGAGCGTTGCAGCTTTCAACGCGCCACAACTCGGGGTAAAACTTGAGCCCCACTGTCCGTACAAGGGCTAGGTCCGTCATTTCCTTCAATGGCGGCGGTTTCCACTGTGCTGATCACCGGCCGCTCATTTTCCTTCTCATTTTTTTATCGAGGGATCATTGGTTACGTTGAATAAATTCAACAGCATTTCATTTCCGGAGTGGGTGCCTGCGGAGTTCCCCTACCGGACCCCCGTCTAGAACGAACCACCCGATCAGACCAGTCCAGTGTGTACAGGGGCATTACAGCACGTTACACCAGAATCATCGCAGCCGAGGTGAGAAAGCCTCGCCGCGAAAAAATCGACTCGCCAGTCTGGACAATATGTCATGCGAACCGGATATGCATTTCGCTAGAATTGTTTGTCTTTGGCATTGGGATGCGTTTTGGGAACCCAGGAGTGGGTCTCCTTCCAACCGTCTTTGTTGTCCCATACGGACAGCTACTGTGAAGCAACTTTGGCCCCCTACTTTCGAACCGTTGGCGTTCATGTGGCTGGTCGAATCAGCTCGTAGGCGGGACTAGCGCGGTGCTAGCTCAGGTTTGCGGGACGTCGAGGATCATGTGCACGAACTGGTTCTGAGTAGAGCCGGAGGCTGAACGCTCCAGACGCGTTGGTGAACGGTCAAGTATACCCATCCGCAAACCGTACAATATCGAACTACGGAGTACACACATAGGAGAGCAAATTAATAGCAGGATGATCTGGAATCACGCTGGTGGCAAATGCAGGATGGCTAGGACAGGCGTCTCGTTGATGAGAGATCTCGGAAGCTTCCTGTTGCACCAGACTTTATGATTTACGGTCAAGACAAGTTTCTTCATTTCAGTACATCAGAGCAGAACGGTGGCGATGATCTCGTTGAATTGCGACCATAGTCGTCAGCTCCTACCTCTAAATCAGTTGTTCGAGTCTCATATATCCTTGAAAGCGCAACAGCCAATTGAAACGCACAAGAAGCATCGAAATGGCAGGCTTGTAGTCATTACGGACAAACAGTCCAATCATGACTCCTCCAGACATTCGAATACAATGTCGAAGACGGCAAATACAGGGCATTCTACTAATTTTCTGAATCTAGCTGCCTATTGTTCTCATTGGCCGCTGCGAGAACACTCTATTATGCCCCCCGTATAACCGGAAAAACGTCCGTCCATCCATCCCAGTGCTGGTTGGTGGTGCTTAATGTATCCAAAGCCTGCTTCATCTGAAACTTGCCTAATTCATTCCGCGATTTCTTCCCTTGAGCGTTGCACTGGGTTGATTTCGCTCGTCATCTGGCTCGGCTCGCATCATCATGTAGCCGCTGTATTACCTCGAGAATCCACGCAGCTGTGTCGCACTTAAGGAGGCCAGTCTTTTGGAAACTTAAGTCTGACCCAGAGGGTTCATGACATGTAGCTCCGCTGAGAGCATTGGGGTTCCTCCCAATAGAGACCGCGGGGAAAGGGATAACTAGCGTACTGGCTCTCTCTGTCTACCGCAATGACCATTATAAAAGAAGCAGAAAGCCCCTGCCTTTTGAGAACAACGATTGCGCTCCTTGTCCTCATGCTACTATGTGACGGACTACTTGCACACCTCCCTCACGACGTAATGCCCGTGTCGTACCAAGTCATCCTGAGGGCGGCAACCTCGCTAAAAATGCGGTCGCGGGAGCACACCCTTTTACCAAAAAGCACTAAACCCGAGGGCGACAACCTCGTTAATAATAGCCGGGGTAAGGTGCGCCCCCGTGATCAACAAGCAAAGCCTTAAGGGCACCGACGGGTGCCTGATGGAGGGTGCATGGGTCCCTTGACCAGCAAATCCATGCCAAGGTTGTCAAGCTCGTAAGATTGAGACACCTCGGCGATAGTAGGCGCCTCTACGTGGTGCTAAGGACTAGTACCGGCGCTACTGCTGTGCACGGGAAGCGAAGACCTACCGAAAGTAACGACTAGATCATGGTACTCAAAACCTGTAATGAACTGATTGCTTGAATGGCCCCTTCTTTTCCTTATTATCTTTGTAGATTCCAAATGTAGTTATCTTTAGCATATCGTGTTAGATTACTATACGAACTCCTTCATTAACACGCAGCCAGGACTGATGGAGCGGACCAAGTCAATTTCGAATCCAACTACGCCCTGGGATCATGGTATACGTCGGTACTAAGGTGGCCAGCATGCCTGACCTCACGAACTAAATCGAGTGGTTGGCTGTGCCGGCGGCTCTGACTATCCGGTGAAGTTCCCTGACCGACTTCGCGTCTTGTGCCCAGTGTCTTCACCAGTGGCTTCACCAGTGTCTTCACCAGTGGCTTCACCAGTGGCTTCACCAGTGTCTTCACCAGTGTCTTCACCAGTGTCTTCACCAGTGTCTTCACCAGTGTCTTCACCAGTGGGACAACCTGATGGACTCTGTTGTCCACGACTTTAGAGCAGGAAAGTACAGATGCAAGATATTTTGTCTTCCTCAAAAAGCTTTTGCTGAGGAACGTCACCGAACTTCTTAGGCCCCAGAATCCTATGGCCCCAGTTACCTGGTTATTGCTAGGCAAGTATTGTGGCCTTCACTCATACTGTTCCATGAGCAGCCACCAACGACGCCTCGATGACGTGGATTGAAACAAACTAATACTGATCTAGGAGCGTAACCCATTTGTTCTAGTTCTTGTTGATGGCGATGGATACATTGTGAGTATATCATCCGATGCATCTTTCTCTCTGTGCAAATAGAACGAGTTTTTTGTCAAGTTCAAGGAGCATTTCCTTCAGGCTGGTAACGCCGGAGTTGTCAATGCCGCCCGTGAGCTGAGCGACTCAGTTAATGAGCTGATGCACTTGACGATCGGAGCTCAAGCAGACCAATGCCAGGCCATGGTTCGTATCTACGCCAACATGCTCGGATTATCCAGAGTTCTTGCTCGTGCCGGGCTGCTTGTTAATGACGCCCGATCCATTGCTCTGTTCAGCGCTACGTTTAATCGAGCCCAGGAGCTGTTTGACTTTGTCGATGCGGCCGACAAGAAGGAGGGCAGCGACTTCAAAATTCGGGGTAAAGCAAGCCCCCGAGTTTCCGCTTTTACTCGTCTGCTTATGCTTTACTGAGTAGAACAATTCCGGCTTTTCGTGGATCTCAACCAGTGCCGACATATCTTTCTCGCGGGCTGCCACGACACTGGCTTTACGTCCATGCTGACCCCATATAAAGGAAGAACCTACCGGATTACATTCATCAAGGCCGCTTCCTTCCAGCGTGACTTTGAAGATTTAGATCTGCCAATCAAAGACCTACCGTCTGTCTTCAAGTCGCTGCCCCTGAATAGTACCGAGCCTTTGGATACAGCGATCACGAAGGCAGTGACGACCATAAGTGGCACAACGACTCCCTGTAAACATTACCAAAAGGTACCAATATCTTGACCCTCTCTGTTATCCATTTGGCATTAATCTCTGCAAACGTACCCACAGTCACCATCCAAGGAGCCTGTAGGTACGGTAGTGGCTGTATCAAGCAGCACACCACGCCGAGTCAAGCAATTCCTATGCTGTCCGCTAAGCCAGTGGATGAACTGTTTAAACCGGTCCAAATTACGGAAAGTTTCACAGGCCGCCCGGATGAACTTTTTTCGTCCCGGCTTCCGCCCCTCGGAGTGATTAACTCGAGGGAGTATATCCCTATTGACAAGGAAGGGCAGCGACTCGACACATACGCTCTACCTCCTACCCAGGACGCCTTTGACGAATACAATAGCTGGGCCAAGAAGCATGAAGTATGCAACAGATACCGTTTATCAGGAGAGTGTGACAATATGCTCTGCCAATATGATCATTATTAGGTCCCGGATGCCATAGTTAGAGTCTTCACATTCTTTCTTCGCCAACACCTATGCCGCAAGGGGGGGCGTATGTCGGTCTATCAAGTGTTATCTCGGTCATTTGTGCCAGATACCCGACTGCAAAGGCGTGAGAAGTCGATCATCCCGAATTAGCCATCATACTCACACCATGGATATTGACCTCTCTGAATAGGTCGTGCCCGTCGATTAGGTAACTAAAGATCACTCCTCGATTAGTAGCTTTGCTATCGATTAAAGGAAGTTTGAAACAACTCACTCGTAGATGTTGCTGGAATAATCAACCGCGAAGAATTATCTTGTGGGTTTCAAAACATACTTTAGAGGACACGCGTTTCCCTTACCAGAACCTTTCCTAAACCTTTCCTTCTCTGTTTATAGATCGTCGAACGCAGACTGCCCTTCCAGCTAATGCGCTAGTCGCTCGCTCTGCTTAATGACGTTTAGTAACTACGAGATGCCCCTGAACCACTAAAATGGACATCAGCAGAGAAAGCTTTCTCGATCTCTCCCTTTTTTTACTCTCTAAAATTCTCCGAGAATCCTTTGGATTGCGGTAGTAGAGTTAGTACCGAATGCTTTAAATTCGCAGGGGTTGATATGATGTGGCTAAAATTAATTTAATGGCTTTCGTCCCTCAAGTCTTAATGAAGTGCGATCCAAGATTATGCTCGGCGAGATAGTAACTCAACAATTCGATTCGATGCCATTCGAACCCATAGTCTTGAAAGGGCCTCAGGAAGTTCAGAGATTCTTGAAGGCACTTAATTCACCCACGTACAGTAACCTAAGGCACGAAAATGAGTTTGAAGTGTCTAATTCTGTACAAATGTATGCATTTACCTAGCGCTTTCGCCCATTGCGTGTCAATCCCCGTTTGTTTGCTACATCTGTCCACCACATCTGTCCACCATATATTCCGCATACTGCCCACCACTTCTTCAGAATTGAAGAGTACTTAGCTTTACCTGCTCCTGGAACTTTTTGGATTTTTGGTCACCACTTTTGCTCACCCCCCTTGTTTACCACTTTTGTCTATCTTATTCACCACTCATTCATTTATACATTTGAAGGGTGAATTTCTTTGTCACATAGAAGTAATATTCTAGAAGTTGCAGGAGTCGGTGGGAAGAACGGGGGAGGATAACATGAACGCATTTCAATCACGTTCATCTGGACACGGCCCCGGTTTTCTCTTTTATTTCAAGATTGCGCAGGATGTACCCTAGTTAAGACCATAAGCAATCACGATATTCACCAATCTCTTGAAGGATTCCTCAGACATGAGTGCCCAGAGGCTCTGTCTTGGTCGATCTTTACTAGTTTGAACAGCAGCTAATTATTACAAATGCAGTCTTGGAAATTTGACCTGAAATTTTTGGATAAAGAAAAATTTCCTCAGCTTCGAGCTTCAATCGCTCTTACTAAAACACAGAACTCCAAGATAGACGCTTCGGTAGATACGCCGCCCTTCGAGTTTGACACACCTTCTCTAACAATGGTAGGGTATTCTTCGTATCGTGGCCAGGCTCGACTGTCGAGCCCTCCGAGCCGAGCAGGGATATACAAAGCCTGAGCAAGAGGCCAAAGCTTTGCAGGAGAGCCTCAAGCAGTCCAGGGAGAATTTTGATCATATTGCCCGCCTACTGGAAATTTTCTATAACCTAAACCAAAGGACGGGGGCTGTTGTGGACTACCTCTTGCGGGGACGCGGTGCGCGTGACATCGAGTGGGAGCTATTTTGAAGGTGCTCGGTGAGGATGAGGAACCCAGACAAAGTTGAGGCCTGTGCTATTATTGATGGTTAATAGCAAAACAAAATCTGATGGAACCATCTGGCCGTGCCACCGATCGCCGGTCCATGTAATTGGCTTATATCTTGCTAAATATTATATACACAAATTTCAATCTTAAGTAATGTAGGATCTATTCAGCATATAGTAGAACTTAGTAGCTAGTTCAATCTCTTGAATACTAGGCGCTATCTTCACACTACGTACTATAACAGAGTTTCTAATTCGCTCAAGCACGCCAGTCCAACCTATACAACTTCAGGAAGTTTCGTTAAATAGTCATTCAAGTGCTCAGTTAGATGAATCTAAGCTAGAGAATGACAATACCAATGCTAAGCGCGACCGCAATCGCCGCTCGACCGCCCCTTCTCTAGAGCCGCCTAAGGGCGTCCTCATTCTGGTTGGAGGAATGATAACGCTAAGGGTATCTTCTGGCTGTGTTCTGACCAGCGACAATCAACATAGTACAATCCGAGTATGAGTAGCTATGGCAGAACAACCCATGGTCCGATTGATGCTTGAGTTTCTTATGGTCTGTTCGTGTGAAGCGCTGCACGGACGCAGACGTACGTAACGTGCGGTACAGAAATTTGCGTGTATATATAGAAAGGATAAACTTAATAATTCGGTCACTTACTCGTAACTACTTGAGCCTTTATATTTATCTCTTTAGTGAATGTTCAATAGCTGAAATGTCTCCTCGTCTGGGACGAGTTGGCCGCTCTATGGAGATGTGAGATTCTTCTATATCCTGGTGATAAAACAGTGGGCCAGAGAAGGGGTTCCAAAGTATCCTTAACCGTCCCCTACATAGAAAGTATGGCTTGATTGAACTCGCTTTCGCAACGTAGTAACTGTTCCATCCATCTGTCTACACATTTCGTGACTCGACCACACTGCTCCCGACAGTCTCTGCACAGGAGGTATCTGATTGCCTGAATAATATCCAGTCGTAATCGGCACTTCGGAGAGGATCTAACTGACAACTGGATTTCTTGTTTGCAGTCTTCAGATAAACGCAGAACGCGTAGATGAAATACAATTTGATAAATGGAGTCCGACAAGCCCCTCGACCGGAAGACGGTGATGTACATAGGTAGAATTGCAATACGACTTCGCTGGACGCTTAATATCAGTCGTAGGTCTTGTGTTCGTACAGTACCCACAAAATTGGGCACAGTATCATTGTGTTGTCCGATCGACTACCGTGTCGAGCACGTTTAAGGCTTCGTACATGGGGCATTCCCCCATTATGTGGTACTCAGTCCTAGGATCACGATCGTGGTTCCTAGGACTGTGTTGTCCACTCTAGGAGGTATCACAGTCATTCCCAGGGGAACTATCCGTCCCTGAAGCCGCGGGCAGTCTTCTGGGATGCCTCCGTTCTGGCGCGATGCTGGAGGTAATGGCCACACTGATACGCTGCGGTGACCTACTGTCTAACAATCAAAGTTCTTTTAATTGCCTCGCTCCACACAGATAAATGGTGACTCCAATAGCATTCCACAATCACCATCATTATGCCTCTCGATGGTCACCACTATACTCGGACGGGTGCCCTCCCGAAATGGCGATCAGATGTTTCGTGATATGCGAGCGCACCTGGAAGACAACGCGTGTTCATGGACTGCAAAGACGACCCACTTGCCATGCATATCTTTCGTTAGCCAGGCGTTTTCGAAGGAGGCAAATTGACTTTTGAACGCACTGACGGGATGGGCCTTCGATGGTTGATCTGGAGCATGTGCTTCATGACATTGCCCTCCTTGCTCTCTGAGAGCCCTGGCATAGACAACACGCCGACGAGCTGAGCCTGACCTGGTGCAAGGCACGCTGCGTTTCAGAATGTTCGACGGCACCGAGGACTACCATTGGCGATGAGACGGGCAGGAGCGAGTTCATGACCACTGCTGAGCGACACGGCCCACTCTCCCGGCCGAGGACTCCTCCCACGTCTCAGTATGGAGATGGCTCTGATCAGACTAGAGTCAACAGCCCAGTGAACCTGCCCGACACCGGGCTCCAGACGCTCAACTGCTTATGAGCCCGTCCTGAAGCCCCTGCTCCGTGCTTTTTGTGATAAATTAATATATTGCTGAATGATCAACACTAAATAACAGATGCTGACAATTTCACAGTCGTGGGCATGATTTCAAGGTCATGTACATGGCAACATCACCTCGAGCGCGCACAAGGCAAATCCACCCACAAGTCTTCGCCAGCGAGCCAGAAGATTCCCTCAGTCGGAAAAGCATCCTGGAGGGCATCCATTCATCAGCCGAAGGTCTAGAAGTAACAGACAAAACATCACGCTCTGCTCGGTCGTCGTCGTCGTCGTCGTCGTCGTCGTCAGGAAGCCCCTAGAGAGCCCCGCCGATCGGGTCGCGAACGGCGTCAGCCCGAGCGCTTCGGCTTTGACTAGACTCTGAACTTAATATTGTTTCTCCCGATTCTCTCCTATGACTTTTCAGTGTCTTTCAGGCTAGGTCGTCTTGTAGAGCTTGGTACATATCACACGGTCTTACCTGTTGTGGAACACATCGCTTCAAATGACAGGGACCGTGGCTCCTTTTAGATTTGTATCCGCTTTCGTCTACATATGAAACAAGGCCAAGACCCATACCAGTAGGGCCAGATTTTACAGTATTTACATCAAATCGGAATATTATTAGTGGAGAGCAGGCCGGGCTCTGAGCTTTGACTTTGTCTGGACAATTCCATTCGTGGCTACCTTTCAATGGCCTCTGACATATTGGACATGGGAGCATTGCGGCACAGGCATTGCTATGCTATCGCTCTCGTAGGTCAACGACAAGCCGTTACAATCCTCGGAAATTGTCAACAATATCGCAGAGTATCCCAGCCAAATTCACAGCGGTAGCTATGTAATGATCGGCCAGCTCCGGTCGTTGGGTCGCCTCATTTGGAAGGATTAGGATGTCATTGATGACGGCCAAGGAGGTCTCGCACGGCCCGGCGCGGAGGAAATGTTAATCAAATAACACGTGGAAAGATTAATCAATAGCGGGCCGACTTAGAGGAACACAACGTCTGCGGCGTTGGTTGCATGGTATGCAAGCACCGAGAATGGCGCAATTCGGGAATCGACATGCCTGGTGTCGCGGGTTCAATTCCCCTTGGTCGGCCCAAAGTCGCACACAAGCCAAGCAAACTCTATCATCACTCTTTACGACCGGAGAGTGACTCCGATGGTCATTCGAAGCTGCCGGAAAGGTTGAGGGGTCTCTCGTCAGCGAGTTGGGAGCTAGAATGACGTCGGCCATAGTGCTAAGAGAGGAGGCGGATGCGGAGTTCTGACGGACGTCCTCTAGCATGTCCGCCTCGCGAGTGCCGAGCGTCCTTAAAGCAGCACTGGGGACAGAACCGGTATATGGTAGGGAGGGATTTCGAAATCGGAGACAAACAACGGCGGCGTTTTTTGGGAGCCCCAATTATCGACAGATACGTTAATATGTCGTTAAGCCCCGGTCGATCGCATTCCAGTTACTTTTGAAAAAAACGAGTGGCCTGCTTAAACTGTTGGCTACCTACACAACAATTGACTCACCACCCAACTCGTTCCTGTCTACGGTTATCTCAGATCTGCCATTGTATGTTATACGCTTTCTTACTGCGTCAACCGAAGTACTGACCTTTCCAGGTAACGTAATTCACGGCTTTCCCGGCCACACGGTTAAGTCGGCCACCCACCCCTTCCACCAAATTTTGAATGAGGATAATTCAGCCAAAGGATATCAATTCATCTCAAATCAGCTCTTGTTACAACGAGTAATCTTATGGCCTACATTCCCACACCCACTGCACCTCTGGGGAGCCCTCTTGCGTGGCAAATCTGCCTTATTCGCCGATCCGCCTGCCTCATTCGATACTATCTGGCTATCTTCGACTGGCTGCACTGGCTGCTGAGATAGCTGTAGGCCTTCTGCGATAGTTAACCCTCCTTCGTGGGCTATCTGCCGATTTGACCGTGTACGTTTCTGGCGTTTCTTCTTATTTGCGTGGCGTAAATCAGCGTTCTCCTGCGCTAGTATCGCAGCGTTATGCATCGATAGATAGGCACCCATAATAATCTGATCCACAGCGGTTTTTGATGGCGACGGAGGGCTATTTGAGCGCTGTTTTAGTAGATTCTTAAGCAAAGTAGCCTACCTCTGTAGCTGGATCACTGTTCTGGGTGTTTTTGGAGTGAATTAGCTAGATCTGCTGCTTGGTCTGCTTGCTGGTGGTATTAGCGTACGAAGCGAGATATTAAGCTTTGATAATACACGCTCTAGGTCTATTAGTATAAGACCGGTAGTAGCGAAGCTAGATTGGACGATTTGCGATTTGAATGCCTCTGCTCGCGCTTAAGGATAGGTTGAAAGGAAATCGAGCCTATCGATATGGGTATAGCCCGCGCGGGCTAGATCGCTCACGAAGCGACTGTACGCACGCTTAAGCGGCGCAAAACACCCAACATCGAGCGGTTGTAGTAGATAGGAAGAATGCGCTGGTATACATAGCGGTATAATATTATTTTCTGCGCAGATCCGGTCGAATGGAGGAGTAAGGTGGCTACCATAGCCATCAAGAATCAATAGCCGATAACGACCTCGTACACGCGAATCTATATATGGGATAAAGTGCTTCTCGAGCCAGCGAAGGCCTATCTGATTAGTAGTCCAGCTGTTATTCGAGACCTCGATTCGCCAATTATAAGGCAGATTCGATTCGAACTAGCCAGCGATATAGACTTTACCAGCGAATATCATATAGGGCGGTAGTGAGTAACTATCAGCGCATATTGTAAGAAGAGAAATCAGTGCAGTTTTGTTAAGTGCTGGGAGCTCGGGTACGCTCGGTCGGGGACTTGGCAAACTGAACGTGAGGACACCCAGGATGGGTCACGTGGGCTCTAGCCTGCCGTAAGTCAAGAACGTCATGACTTCGAAGGACTCGCAGATTCCCCCCAAGATAAATAATCCGAGGAGGATAGTTTAGAGGGAATCAAGAGTCAGAGTTGTCTTCTGCCGACACATACGTTGACGCACTCTGTAGCTCATAAGATATCCTTTCCCCCACGTATCACTTCCTCATCCCTACCGTCTCTTCTCATGACTCGTATACGACCCAGTCCCCCTCTCGGACTATTCCCCTTTAGGAATTGTTCTTACACATATAGCCTCAATAGCAGTTACCTATTCGCGGTTTTTAGGTTGTAAGATTAAGCGGCGACCGTAGTATTCAGCACGAGTGACTACTTTTTAAGCCGATATTAGGCCTATCGCGAAGCCAGTCTCATCGAAGTTATAGATATCCTCCGCGAGGATACCATTCTCCTCTACCACTCGCCTTACGCTCTCAAACCACCCACGAAGCGACTGAGAATCTTCGTTTTAGGCACGTTGGTAGTCGTATCGCCTCGAATAACGCGATCGGAGCTCTTCGCGGCGTTTCACGAAGGTTAAGATCCAATTAACGCCTATAGTAGGCGAGGGGGATTGGCCACGCGCGGCAAGTAGGATATTAGCCATCTCTCGAATAGTAGAGGGCCTAGGCGCTGCACCACGCGTATCCATAGAGAGAACCCATTCAACTAGCGAATCCTCTTCAAATTGCGTTAATTTATAGAGGTGACATCGCTTATCAACGCGTGAAGCCATCCCAGCAGCGCGGTCTTGGAGGGTAGTCTTCAGCACGTTATATAGCTGCGCTGCAGCGCGAAGAGACTTGACTTGGCCCTTTTGATAAAGTTGAAGAGCTAATTGAATCCTGCCCTCTTGCTCGGCAGATTTCTGACGAGATTCAGAAAGTTTGGGTGGCATGGCTGGTGGTTGAATAAGGTAGGTTGCTGGACGCGCGTGATTTTCGTGGGGTGGCCGACTTAACCGTGTGGCCGAGATAGCCGTGAATTACGTTATTGGGAACTTATCCGTAGTACCCTGTTAGTTGGGCATGTATTGCTTTTTACGAGATTATACGGCACTTTATGTGCTGCTTAAATTTAATATATCTGATGTCTCTTACCCTCATGCCCTCCGAAGGACGTCGTATCTCAACAATTAATCACGAGAAATCGAACCGAGATGGCGCAAAGCTACCCTAGAGCATGAGCTTAACCACGACATGATCCAGAGTGGGGGATTATATATGGCACAGGCAGCTGGCTACAACACATACCGGGGACCTCTTCCAGTATACAGCATCAAAGCACACCGTGGAGAACTCATATGTTCAATGACTCACGAAGATTAATGGGTATTGGGATGGCTCTTCCGCTAGCGTGGAAATGTCTTGATCCAGTTCAGCATCAAGGATGCAGTGATATTGATTACTCAGCATGACATAACGAGGGGGTGAAGGAGTGAGGGGTAAGGTGATTGAACTTCGGTGAGTGAAGTACAGGGTTCAGTCATCTAAGCGCTCGATAAACCTGCTAGGCAGATGATGTATCGAGCTTAAAGATATATATCGCGTAATAAGAAGGATTTCAAGATGTGTAGTCTTGTCGCTCAACTTCCCTGTGCACGAATTTATACAGTATACGGAAACATATTTTCCAGCTTTCGTTTATGAGTTCTTGTAAAATACTGTCGACCACACAATTTTGCAACGTGGCTCTCATGGAGTTGTCTAAGCCAATAGCGCCGTAGGTACGCCTTAAGGGGTTCTATTTCGGGCCACCAGTTAGGTCGTGACACATAAAGCCAGCTCATCGAACATTCACAAGCCAAAAGCAGCCAAATGCCGTCAGCCGCCCTTGAGATAACTATACATATGCCCCAAATCTTGTTTATATGATATCAGGACTGTTGCCATACTCTTGGAGTTTCTTTTCTCTCACAGTGCATAGGATTTGACGCTTTAAGACAAGCAATTAACGAAGTAATACGCCTATGGCTCCGCCAGTTAGCAAAAGCGACAAGTTCTATGCGGTCTACAAAGGTCGTGTTGACAAGCCTACTATATATTCATCTTGGTGGGATTGGATCCAACTTGGCAAGAGACGTTTGATGCACTGACATGCTACTTGCCTAGGAGTCAAGCACACCCAAGAGTCATAGAATGCGAAGGCGCCGAGCATAAGAAGTGGGACACACTCGAGGATGCTCGCAAGGCAATGAAAGATAGAGGCTTCGAGGGCGTTGATATATTTGTCAAAAAATCAGCTGAAACCAAAGTCGCGTCGTTGCGAAAAGACAAATACTATGCCGTTGCAGGTTGCAAGACCACTAGGGTGTTCACTTCTTGGGAGTAAGCCTCCTTAATTTGATAGTCCAACATAGATAACTCACATAACATAGGGATGCGAAAGAAGCGATCAATGGAACCACCGCGTGCCAAGAATGTTTTAGCACTAAGCAAGAAGCAGAAGAGTTCATTGAGAGTTGGAAAGACGCCTACGCTGATGTATGGCGAAGGGCAATTCGACAAGGATTGAACGAGGGATGGAAGGCTAGGGACATGAGTTTGAACATTGGATCATTCTTGCTTAGGGAGAATGACAACGAGAGGTTAAAGGAAGATGGTCACGAGATGGTGAAAACGGCTCAAAATGAACTTCCGAAGATTGAGCAATTATCTGTCAAAGAAGAGAACCAGGAATAGAGCGTTCAATCAAGGGTTACGTTTGTGGTGGGGCTCAACGAGCGAAGGCCAACACGACCGAAGAAGAGCTCTACATGGCGCCGGGACTTTGGAGCTTCTTCTACAACAAATTTAGCAATGAATGTCATGCAATTCTACCTACTTTGCTGAACCCGCAGTTACACAGTGCCACCTCACATTGCTGCGGAAAACCATAAACTACTCAGTATTCTGATAGCCATCCCCACACTGTTAGTGAAAGTCAGCTGCTTCTCGATGGCGGTCCAAATGATATCGGTATCATCAAATCGTTTAGTCAAATTGCGCTAGGTTCGGTCGTTCACTGAAACGACAATCGCAGTGTCATCGGCTCTCACCTGACGATGACGGGCAATTTTTCGTCGAAGAACTTTCTCTAATTTCTTCTCCAAGAAGAGCTGCCAAAAGGCACTAGGGGCAAACAATAGGGGCCAAAACAAGATCTTCCTCCATGTCCTTTGACACCTCTCGATTGTTGACTGTAACACGCCACTCTATACGGTAGTGTATACAGGTCGGCGGGTCCTTGTCATATACTCTTCCTTCTTCCCACTCAGACAAGTGGAGCAGCCTAAGAGTATCTGACGGTGACTCACTTTCGTAGTCCGTGATCAAGTCTCTTAAAGCCTCGATGGCGTAATCACCACTCTTCCATACGTCGTCGCATTCACGGCCCAGGATGCGGCTCCTGATCGCAAGATGGAGTGGAGTATTGCCAATATCAGATTGAGTATTTGCATCGGCCCCGTGTTGGAGGATTATTTATCTTGGGGGAATCTGCGAGTCCTTCGAAGTCATGACGTTCTTGACTTGCGGCAGGCTAGAGCCCACGTGACCCATCCTGGGTGTCCTCACGTTCAGTTTGCTAAGTCCCCGACCGAGCGTACCCGAGCTCCTAGCACTCAATGAGACTGCACTGATTTCTCTTCTTACAGATATAGCCGTCCCCTTCGTTGGGCTATATATAGGGGTGCGTTAAACCCCTATTATTGGTAGAGGAAGTCTTTAATACTATATTGTACTCCTTCCTGGTCCTTAGTCATATCGTGACTAGAGAGGCAGCCGGAGATGAACTATTAGCTAATTAAATATGTCCGTCGACGCAGAAAGAGCACATACATATATTTACTCAGTTCCTCTAGATAAGGTTACAGAATGTTCAATTTCTCTTTGATCAGTTTTACCCTATCAAAGAAAGGAAGGAAGAAAGAAGTTAGCCAGGGTTCAAAAATATCATAATATTTAGGGTCTTTTCATTACTTTTCCATTTCATACCTGTGGACGCAAAGGGCTTCTTGGGCAGCCCCATGTTGGGTAAATTCATCCCGTCTAGATGTGTTAGTTTTGTTTCAGTATGACAGATTGTTACCTAGTTCCTATTTACACAGGAAACAGAAAACAAACAATAGGAATCAGATAGAACCTAGGAAACAATAACGTACAGATCCAGGGAGCCTATAGGTCGAGGAGCTCCTATATCGCTGTCTTTCCTCGGAGTTGGCATAACCGAAAATAGCCGGTCAGCTAGTAGGAAGCTTTAGTTCGCAGGGAAAGCTGCCGCACTAATCGAAGCATCACTAAGTCAAGAGATATAAGCTATGAATTCGATCGAAACTAGATACCGGTTCTCAGGCCCCCGAAAGCACTGGAAACAAGATATCTGGTGACCTTACAACTTATAAAGGCTTAAGAAAACTCTGAAGCTGTGCCTGTCCTTTTATTGGCGTTACAGATTCAATGACTTCATGGGGCAGAATGGTGCCGTCATACGGGGACGTCTAATCTAGTCATCGCCAAAGCGCGGGTCAGGCTTGGACACTGAACCCAAAACCCGCCAAGTGATTTGTCAGCGCATGGAGTGGTAGTTAACGTAGTTCACGCCCGAGCGGATCACACGCCCGAACGGATCACCCCAAACACCATATTAAATGCGATAAATTAAAACTTCATATCTTAACAACCAGATGAATTTATAGCTGAATATTAAGGGGTCATAGATTTAATACTATTTCTAGCTCACTAGCAAACTTGAGGAGAACTGATCAGAGTACTGACGCAATTATATATAATTAAGTCTTAAGGGGCAAAAATACAGCGTGATTTATGGTAACGCATGATGATGATGATGATGATGATGAATTCATTTACCCGATATAGCTTGCTCTAATATATGCTGCTATGCGGGAGTGCTGTCAGGCCTGCCGACAGCTTTAAAGTGGTTGCCAGCCTACTGAACGACGCTTTTATAGGGCTCGCGGGCCCCCTAAATGCCGTTCGAGAATAAAACTCGGTTACGTAAGCACCCCCTGATAACCCAAACTTCCCTACACCCTTAACTCCTTCCCCGCATTCTTCTTTCTACATAGCCCTCCTAGCTGTCGGCTACCGCTCTTGTGCTCGCTTATATCAAGGGAGTACAGTAGACCTAGCACTACACTCCTCACGGGCGCTATCCTTCTCCTTCCGTCACACTATCCTACGGGTCATTCTTTTCCGTCGCCTTTCTCGACCCCTAGAGCTATCAGGTCGACTGCTTCGAATTAGTCCAAGAGACCTATTCGTATCATGAATTCGGCTACAATCGCGCGGGCCTCTAGCCGCGTTAGGAGCTTATCGAGTCGAAGAGCCACTCTACGCTCGGATAGGGCGTTTCTTATCTAGTTACGCTCGTCTTCGAGTAGCGCGTATTTAAGTAAGATATAACTAGCCGTCTCGTTCCCCAGATCGCAACTATATCTTACTAAGTCACGCCGGTTAATACGATATAGGTAGGCCGCTAGGCTAATTCGCCTAGTACGAAGCTATATTAGAATTAATACCGTCGCCTTCCGTAGGTCGGACTAGTATTCTAGGGTTTTCTTGGTTAGTAGTTCGACTAAGTATTTCGTCGGCCGGCTTATTTTCTCTATAACCTATGATCTCTCCTACTCGGCTTTCGCCTCGCGGCGTATACGGCGTTTAGCCGTAGCTACGAGACGGATATACCGGTTATCTAGGTTCTGTGGTCCTTACGGTTCTAGGGCTGCCTCCTTTGTATATTAGTCGATAATTTTATTGCTAGCTACTCCTTAGTAAGCCGGAATCTACCTAAGCTCTATTTAGATACTATTAGCTATATATCGCCTTATTAGATCGAGATACCCTTCTAAATAGACCTATCCCGACGGTATCCGTGGTTTGCGGAGCGCTTTTAGTACCGCCTAGCTGTCTGCGAAGATAATAAGACCATTTTTCGCCTATTCGGCCTACTATTCTATACTATCTAGGGTTAAATTAAGTGCTATCTCGATACCGCGAAGTTCGGCGGTATATATAGTAGATATATCGTTATCTCCTATTTAGCTATAGGTATAGCGGTTCTAGAGATCGGTAACAGCTACTCCGATTCTTCCTTTAATCCTACTACCGTCCGTATAAAGAGTTAAGGGCCTTCCTCCTAGGTCTTTAGATAAAATATGGTTATAGGGTTTAACTGCTTTGTCTCTATCCTCGATAATTACTCTTGGTAGTGCTTGCTATGGTGCCTGGATGAATGCCTTCCGACTCTCCTAGTTCCCTGCTAAAGTACCGGGGGGAGCTGTGAGGTATCCGCCCGTCTTCTAGGCTTGCGCTTCTATCGGTATCTATCTAGACTAATCTCTCTTAGCGAATCGTCGGCGCTGTAGTATTATTAGGGGAATAGCGAATACTGGTCCTGTTCGTAGCCTTACTACTATCTCCTTTACTAGGCGGTTTATATGAATCGTAATCGGTAGTAGGTATAATTTAGTATTTAGGGCCTCCGCTACTATCGTTCTGAACGCTCCGCTGATTAGGTATACCGCCCTCTTCTGGATAGCCACGAACGGTTGACTAATTATGCGTGCCTTTATCTTACTAATTACTATTGGTTAGTACTAGGCCGATACCCTAAAAAGTATCTGAGGGATAACTACTGCTTAGTAGATTTTATGTATAGCTAAAAGGAAGGCTCCCTAGGTTAAACCTGCTAGACTCCGTAAAGCTTAGAGAGATATATCTGCCTTTTTAATCGCTTTCTCGCGGTGGTCCTAGAACTCTAGTTCCGGGTCTAACTAGTATCCTAAATAACGTTTAGCCGTCCTCGTCGCGGTTACTATATATCCGTCGAGATATAGCGGTGTGTATTACGGGTCGACTTCCTAGGCGTTTACGAAGTATATAAGCGCGTACTTCTTTAGGTCGAAAACCGAAGTATACTTTCTGGCCTATTAGTCCGCCTTTCGGTAAGCGGATCTGAGCTTTTAGGTCGTCTCTCGTTCGCTGTCTCCTTTAACTATAAGACAGACATCATCTATCTAGCTATTACTAGTTACTCCGTTCCCGCAGCCCTCGATAAGGTCTATATTATAAATTAGGTAGAGAATAGGCGAGATTAGTAATCCTTAAGGAATACCGGTTAGTGTTAGGAAGCGATCCGATATACCCTCGGGCATACGGATTCGTGTGCTTCGGTTTAACAGAAAAGCCTATACCTAAGGTACGAGTTATCCTAGTCGCCGCTTTCTAAGGTTATAGAGTAATCGCGTATAGGATATATTATCGTATACTCCCGATATATCTAGTAGTAGTAAGGATACTACGGGACTACCCTTTCCCTAGGCTAGTTTAATTCGATTAATAATAATATATATAGCGTGGTCTGTAGAGATACCTCGTCGACTACTAAGATAGGTCTTTAGAAAAAGACCCTTAGTCTCTACTACGTAGCTAATTCTTTATACGATTATTACTTTAAGGAACTTACCTAGGGTATTAAGGAGGGCTACTAGCCGATAGGACTTTACTAGTTAATAATCGTCCTTACCCTACTTTCGGAGGACTACCGTGATTAATCGTTAAAAGTGCGTCGGATTATAGCTAGTACGAATATATATATCGAATAGCTAGCTAAGTACTTATAGGATAACGGGGATCTCGATTAGCTTATACTAGAGGGAGTTTAGGATACCGTCTTCTCCTAGTACTTTTCCTGCCTTTACCCTTTTTACTGCGTCTTAGATTTCGTGTATAGTAATAGGTAGAAATTTAATCGGATCTGGGTACTTAAAAGACGTAGTGTCGGAGAGATCTGTAGGTAGTGGTTATAGAAAGAAGGCCGCCCGAAAGGCTTCTGCTTTCTGGTTAACCGTTTCTGTAAGTTCGTCCCGTCCTTCTGGGCCTTAAACTTTTAACGAGGGAGTAAGGCCCTTCTTATAGGCTCCGTTACGGTTCCTTACCTATTTAGTAAGGCGCTATATTCCCCGCGGGCTATCTTCGATGATCTATTAGACCTAGCGTCGATGTGCTGTAGATAGTGTTTTTTTGACGAGGTGTGTCTTTCTATTGTGTGCTAGGGAATATTATATCTAGTCGTAGGGGTCTTTTATCCTTATATACTTGTGTCGTAGTCGACGGACTTCCTTGACGGCGGCCTTATATTCGTCGTCGAAATCTGGATTCGACTATACCGACGGATTTGCCTACGGGGTCGAGGTATTAATTACTGACTAAATAATATCTAGTAGTATCTGGTATTAATACTCGATTTGTGCTAGGTCTGCTTTAGATAGATCTGTTACTTAGAGCCCTTCCTCGATTTTCCGAATGAGTTTATTATAGTTAGTAGCGTTCTAGTTTCTCCGTTTCTCTTATTTACGTAGCGGCGTTTTAATATCGAGTACCGTTCTGGTAGGGAAATAGTCGGACGAATATTCTACGTCGTCCGCTTGTTTGTAGCGGATTAGTCTGCTGGTAAGGGTCGAACTGATAAGTGTGAGGTTAATAACCGATTTCTGATCGTTTTGAGTCTAAGTGGCTTTTCCTTTCTCTGTGATTAATTCTAGGTCGTATTTATTAATGATTTCTAGCAGTTATTCCGCTTCCTTATTAATCTTGGTCCCCCCTCCTCCCTATGCTAGATAGTGTGTATTTATATCTCCTATTACGACGTGCTCTGCTAGGGGGCGCTTAGATATTTCACGACTTAGCTAGGCTAGGGTGTTGCTGCTAGGCCTATTATATATATTATATATAAATAGGTTAGTCTAGTCCTTCCCTAAATAAGCCCTTCTAAGTTTTAGGAGTTAGTAATCCCGCGAGATTACCTAGTATGACTAAGTAGCCGGGTCTATCTTTTTCGATACGAAGAGGTATATACCGGCTTAAGGAGGGCCTATATCTTATTCCTAGCCCTGAAGTTGACGTCGCTCTTGAGGGGTCGGTTTCGCGGGATAGAGTAGCTGGAATGCTGCCGTTGCTGGTTAGTGGGTTGTGTGTTAGTTTTCGTTCTTCTATGGCTCCTGTACCGTGATGATGTCCGTCGCTAGAACCTTCTTGTCCCTAAGAAACGTGGCTATTATAGGCCACGCTTTGTGTATATTATATTAGAGTATTTCGAACGACTTTATTAGGGAGGTTGTTCGTTATTACTCCGCTCGCTGGTCTTATATTATACTTTGTTATATAGATCTTCGATTGTGGGTGCGTCGGTTATGATTGTAGGAGGAGAGGATCGAATAAGCCCCGTCCGCGGTTAGTTATATTTAAGAGTGATGAGTTTTCGGTATTCTAGGCTTTCTGGGTCTAGATCCTCTAGAATAGGCTCTAGTATGGTATCGATATCGTTAATCGTTATAATATTGTTAGTGAACTAGGTGAACTTATTAAGGTTATCGAGTTCGACGTCGAATAAGTTCCTATAATCCGGTTGTTCGTCTATGATATCCTCTAGCTCTCCTATATAGCGTTTTTTAGATATAAGGTTATCCTGTTCGCCTCTCTGAGGAGTAGCCTAGGATCGTGTTAACTATTAGCTTACCGGAATTATCGTAGGTAGCGGTGCTTATTCCTTGGGTCTAGTTCTAGAATCCTTTAGGCGACCGGGGCCTCTTTTCGGCTTTGTTGGTTTAACCGGTACTTAGGGAGATCTCCCTGTCCTCGCTGGTTTAAGCTCTAGATCGATTATAGTCGGTGGAGAGGACTAAGGGGGTACCGTCCCCTATGGTCTATCTGGTGTATATACCGATATATTTAGGTTATTCCTGCTAATTAGGTCCTGACTATACTGTGGTACGGCTTTCTCTCCGTTCTTAGTATTACGGAAGTATAGCGGGATACGATGATATGTAGGATAGTCGGCTAATACCTGTTTTGCCTCTTTTATCGCCTCGGCCTTTACCGGGTAGTCCCGGCTAACCGGGCGATACCCGCCGCTGTAGTTGGTATATTTTACTGGTATTACCTACCCCTATATCGAAGGGTACCCCTAGGTCGGGTGCCCCTTAGTATAGTGGCTATATTTGTAGTCGTTAGAATAGTGTAACTAGATATACCCTAGCTTTTGGTATTTTCTGTATAGTTTTGTCCGCCCCTCGCGGCAGAAACGTATAGTATTGTGGATTTGTTCTCCCTATACGACGCTAGTAATGATAACGCGATTAGCTATAGCTAGGTTAGTGAACTCGATTAGAATCGAGCCCTCTGCCCGTATCCCTGGTCGTATTAGCTAGCCTAGATATTGGATCTTGGCGTCTTCGCCCTAGTCGTTCTACTTAAGTAGGTCGGTAGAAACGTCGGCTATCGTCTCCGGGGTAAGTTTTATCGAATTTACCGGAATATAATATGCTACGACGCCCTACGACGGCTCCTAGACTACAGAACCTAGTCTAAGGGCCTTTAACTACCTAGTATACTTACGGAGGAGTTTAGCTCCTGTAGCACTATTTACTACTATTACTATGTTACCCGAAGGTAGTTTCCGAGCCGTAATAAAGGTAGCTCCCTTAGCGAGTGCCGCAGAGTTCTTCTGTCTAGTAGTTATCGCTTTCTATCGTTCCGCACGCTCTACTAGCTCCTTTAGCGAGAGTACTCGGATTTACTCGCGGTTAGGTCCTACCTTCACTATAACCTCGCGGTCCTCGCGGAGCTCGATTTCTGGCACCCCAGGAGACGATATACCGTTACTGTGGGTAGTCGGCGCTACGGCCTTAGCTAAGCCGTGTTGCTAGTCTCTGGCTCGAAAGTTACGCTACGCTGCCGCGGAGTCCGCCGCGGAGGTAGACAAAGTTGTGGATAAGGCGCTCGTTATCTTTTCGATGGTGTCTATTCGTCGGTTTAGGCTTTTAGTGTCGGTATTGATCTTGGTCAGCGCGTCGAGTACCTTGGCCATCCCCTGGTTATCGCCCCGTTGGGCGTTGATTGCGTATTGGCGGATAGCTCGAATATATCCTGTGATATATCGGTCCTTAGTCCTGCTGTTCTCGATGTGATTAAGTACCTGGCGGGCGCCCTCTGCGATCTCTTCCAGAGATCTAGGTGGGTCACCGGGTACTGTGGTTTTTGGTGTTCCTCTCCTTTCAGGGGGCAATTTCTGCGTGTTCGCACCGGTCGCAACTATCGCTGCCATCTCACCTATGTAATAGGTATCTGACGGTAGCGCTTGAAGTTACGGATACGATGAACTAATTCTCGAGGCCGCAGGTCCTCTGATTGGCGAGATATTTCAAGAAAACGTTTTTGCCAAGAAAGGGTTGTTCTTCTGCCCCTCCGGTCGATCTTATGGTAACGCATCTAAATCATCCTTATATAAAGCTAAAATTGTCCTTGAGCTCTTCCTGTATCAGAGTATATGCATGATCTTAATTCTTGATCGAAACAAACCTTTGGTGGTCGAAATATGGGCGAACTAAAAGAAGGCACTTAGTATGGTGTTTTGGGGTGATCCGCTCGGGCGTGTGATCCGCTCGGGCGTGAATCACGTTAACTAGCTTACCACAGCAAGATATTGGCTACAGTGGTGTTCCATTAGTTTCCGACCACCCCTTATTTTTCTGCCGCGCCAAGCCTTTTCTGCTGGCCCTAAGAAACCTCGCAAATAATTACATGAATCACCCAAATCCTTCAATACTTAGTGTACCACCCCTCTGCATCAATAATTGCCTGCACCCTGTGTGGCATCAAAACCGATAGATGCACTAAAATATCCAAATCTAGTAGATCCCACGCTTCCTGGGCCTTTTCGATTAAAATCGCATGCGCAGTATCGTTATTTCGCATGGTTTTTAGCTCTGGGCAAATCTTGTAGATTTTATCTTTCAGCGACGTCCACAGGTTTTCAATTGCATTCAAATCAGGAGATTTTGCAGGCCAATCCATCACAGTAAAGCCCATTTCACGTAGGGCCTCGCGCACAACGATTGCAGTATGTGTTGATGCGTTATCCTGCTGAAATATACCATCTTCATGATCGATCAAAGTTGGTAGGATTTGTTGTGATATGAAGGCTGTCGCTGCTCAGGAATGAAGCCGAAACATCGGAAATAATTCCTGCTCTATCTATACAAAGACCAAGTTGATTGGAAATCAACTTGGACTTTATGTTGTGTATATAGCCTCATGTATTCTCTCAAGAAGTATAGTTAATCAAGCTTCCTTTTGCAAGACAACATATTTAATCGCAGGAGATCGGGACTTAGAGATCTCCAAGATTCAGTCTTGTTCCAATATTACATCTACATCTCCTTCTCCTTACCTAGTTGACAGGCCCCCTGTCCTGTATCACAGCCCTTTACAGATACCGCATAAATGCCCTTTTGCGGTTCAAGAGAAGCTAACTCTGATATAGAGGCAACTTTCTTCCACTCACAGATCACTATTTCATGTACAACTACATCTCTTTGGTGCATCGAATCAGAGCATATCAGTTTATGAAAGTGGATCGCTTAGTTTCACTTATATGTGTAATTGTTACACGTAGCATGTTTCCAGGCTAGATCAACGAACTGCCTCGGAGCAAATAGAACATAATTTTGACTCTATATAGCCGTCTATCCGGTTTGCGCTTTAGTCCGCTACCCTCCGCTAGTAGTCACTGTCATTGTCGATATTATGGTTATCAACATCTTAGTTATCACTGTAGAAATGATCATTATCTTCAAAATCTCCCCAAGACCTTTTATCCCACTCTTCTTCTACTACACGAATTATCTATCCGTGACTTTCCATCTCCATTCTTATGAAATCGCTAATGCCGTCCTTATAAACCTTAACAATGACTTATTGCAGGGACGATATTACTCTGAAGTGAGCATCGATTTCCGCTAGGGCCTCGGCAACAATTTCAGGACCTCTATTCGCCCCTAGCCTGGGTTCTAAGCCACCTTTGCTACGTGGAGACGTGGCAAGCGTTCTTAAGTTGGCAAAGCCGCTCTGAATTTTTTCGAGGGTGCGACGGCTAGACTGCGGCACTAACCGCAAAGACCATGGTTAACCGCAACCATATCCAAAACCATTTGGTTTTGGTTTTCGGATCAAGACCGCAAATTTGTGCGGTTTGGTTGCGGTCTTCAACTTAAGACCGCAATACGGTTTTGGTTAACCAATAGTTAGATAAACATAGCAAACAGGGTAAGCCTCGTGAACTTTTGGTCAGATGATTTTTTATGCAGTCTTTTTGGTATTTTTCTAGTATCTAGTCAGTACAGAGTATCTTACCAAAGTCAACCTTTTTTGGTAAATAATTTATTTAATATATAGTACACTTCTTTGATTTATTATGCACTTATGGGGTTCCAATTTCAAATCCTTCTGGCATCCTGGTCTTCTTCCGTACTCGACTAGGTCGTTGTGTATTCTCCAGATCAGCCGGTTCAGGCATAACTTCATTCTCCTGGGATTGAGTGCTTCTACTCCGAGGTCTCTTGGGTCTAGTATTTTCACTCTGAGCCTGAGGCTGTAGTAGCTGAGAGGGGATCTCAGTCACTATATCTTCATCTTCGGCCTGCTTACTATCACTAATAGGATCCAGAGAAGGGAGGGGTGGTAGTGAGCCTCTCTCCTGTTCAAGAAGAGCTGACTCCCCAACTGAAATAAGCTATTTAGTGAAATCAATCTCCCTTTGTTCAACTTCGAATTTTGTTGCACACATATAAAGCATCAGCGCTTTGACTGTCTCCAGTTTTAATTGGCCACGTCAATAATGACAGATATCACGCGCGCAATTAAACAGACGCTCCACACCGGCACCACTAGCAGGAATAAACAAGATGTCCCGTGCAAGGGCTGCAAGACTTGGAAACTCTTGTTGGTGCTCCTTCCAGAACATACGAGGATATTGAGATATCAGTCCTAGCTTATTAGTGTTAATTACTCGAAGTTTCTTTGTGGATAGGTCGGGGCTTACCTTTAGCAAGATAGCGATCAAGCTCGTCATCATTGTTCCCTTGGGGCTCCTCCGGTTGAAGAGTATTCTGGGAGTCACAAAGCATCTCAATCTCATCCACGGTATTGAGTGAACCAGCTAAAGCCCTAGGTGATAGAGGGCTATTGTTATCTGGAAGCCGTCTCTTATAACGCCAGAATTCCTCTTCTAATCAACCACGGTATCGTCTAGCGTAGTCAACATCACCTTGCCAATCCTTAGTTTTAAAGAAGCGAAGCTTCTTCGAAGGTGCCAGGATCGTTGCAATTGCGTAAATATCACCATAGCACTCATGATCAGTCATCTTATAGTACTCTGAGAGCTTTTCCCTTGCTGCTTGAAGTGCTTGAAGCATAGTTTGCTTCCAGGGAATCCTCTTCCGGCGAAGCTGCTCTTCGGAGGCCTCAAGTGACTAAAGAGCTTATTGTAGACGCTAAGATGAGATGAATGGTGATATCCTTTGACTTTGAAAGAGCAGTGGTGAATTTGAAGAGCGGCTGGGTGATACAAAGTAGGTAGTCGACCTGGCGCCACTTCTCTTTGTCAAGTTGGAATTGGAGATATCCATGGGTTTGACAGTATCGTTTGAAGGTCTCCTGTAGTCGCTTTGCACGCCCGAGCATTAGAAAGGTAGAATTCCATCGTGTACGGACATCCTGAGTAGGGAGTAGATGAGGCTCTTCGGTCTGGAGGCCTAAAAAGGCTTCGCGGCGCTGTGGGCTTGCATTAATGAAGATAGCAAGGTTCGAATCTTGATACAGAGTGAGAGGTCAGTGATCTGGTAGTAAAAGAGAGGAAAGAAGACTTACCTTGTTCAGAGTATCAACTATCTCTCTGTTTGTGCGCTTAGGATGTGTTGAGTATGCACGCTCATCCGACCACTCAATCTCAGTCTCATCATTAATGGGTACTGCCTTCATTTTACCCAGTAATTGATTAAGGCTCAGCTGAATCACATGGGCGAGACATGGAATCCGAAAGACCCCTGTGTCACCAATTCCTTGTACCTTGATCTCTTCTTGGATGCTATTGATCATGGTATTGTTGTTCGTTGCATTATCTGTCGTGATAGATAATATCCGATCGGTGACCTGGTGTTCCTCAAGAATGTTGATAACGACGGAACTTAAATTGTATCCAGTATGTGAACCATGTAGTGGCTCAAACCTAAGAAGGACCTCGCGATACTCCCAGTCATTACCAACGAAATAGCTAGTAATTGCTATGAATGCTTGGGAAAAGGGTGATGTCTAGTAGTCTAATGCAATTGAGAGTCTGCTTCCTTGTGGTAAGTTATCGAGCACACTCTATTGTCCTTGTTGAATCTCAAGGTCTAGCCGACGGCGAATAGACCGAGCAGAGGGTAATTTAATTTTAGAAGGAGCTAGTTGAATTATATTATAAAGTCGTTGGAGCTCAGGACGTTCAAGTATATGGAATGGGAGTCAGGCAATAGTGATGAGCTGGAGAAGATGATGGATAAGAAGATCTTTAGAGAAGGACTGTGGCGATCGAGTCAGGGGCTGAATAAGAAGAGAGTTAGTAAATAGTGGTAGATGAATGAGATGGTGTTCAAACTGACCGATTGGAGCAGTAGCTGATCAATCCCTCTTCTTTGCAGCCCAGGCTTGTAAGTAGTACTTTTAAGATGCGTATTCATCGGGCTTGTTCCCCCGCGGCGTAACTGGGGATGAGTAAGGGTAGTATGGCAGCGCTTGTATATGATCTTTGGCTCGCCAGTCTTCTCGTGTGCAACTTGGTCGAATTCATCCCAAAAACTTCATCTTTTCTTATTATCCCAGCCGATCGAAGCTCTAGCATCCTCCTTTACTCCAAACTCGGTCTGCAGCTACTATTCCGTGAATTGTAAGCGGGATTGCTCCATCTCGGGATTTATGTCGTACAGTATCCAGATCTGGTGGATCCGAGGGCCAACGCGTTTTAATGAGGATGGTGCTAGCTGTTGGGGAGACTGGCGAGGATCAGACAGGGCAACCGAAGTAGCTGTTCGGCAGGTATTGCTAAGGGTAGGTAGATCGTCTGACTGTAGAAAGTCAGCCTCAGAAAACTGATCGGTAAAACCAGACACTTGGGAATAAGCCATTATGAAGAAAGGCCGAAGTAGTAGGGGTCTAGTAGATAGAAAAGGAAACTTACTGGGGATTCGCTTTAGGATGAGAGGGAATAAGTTGCGACCGGGTGGAATCAACAGATATCAAAAGCAATTATAGTTTGCTGGTTAATCCTGTAAGCTAATTGGATCCCACTATCTAGTGGTGCGGTTATCTCTTGGTTAACCGATGGATAACCGCTAAGTAACCGCAAAGACCACAAACTAACCGCAAACTAACCGCAGACTAACCATATGCTACTTTAACTTATTATTATCAATCAAGTTTATTGTCCGTATCGAGCCCTAAAGCTATGACAGACCGCGAGTCTGAGGCAGGGTCTGCAGCCGCTTGGTCAAGCCGCTTTCAGATCCCTGCTCCTATGAGTTCCTGGGCGTGAGCCCCGTGTAAATACTGTCAGGTCCTTTTCCTCGCCCCATATCGCCTATATGCGCAGGGCATTTGAGCCTTTGTAGCTCTCCTCGGTGTCTCAAGCGGTACGAGTGTCCCCTAGGCTGGAGCCTAGGCTACCCTTCCTGCTATCCTTCCCCGGTCCTCTCGGCTTCCTCCAGGTCTTCTAATCCCCATTCATCGTCTCGTCGAGCTCGCTCTGCCACGGCCTGGTGGTGGTACCGAGGCAGAGCTACCTTCGTCGTTGACAGAAATTGTAAGATGGCGGCCGTCGCTTTCGGTTCCCCCAATAGCCTACCTTCTGGACATTCTTCCGCTGCGGAGGGTCGGGCCACCCCAGCTTGATCCAGAGCTCGGTAGAGCTGAGCCCGCTGGTGCTGCCACGCCCGGCACTCAAAGAGAACGTGGTGCACTGTCTCTGTCGGTGCATCACCTTTCTCACACGCTGGGCTTTCCCGTGTGTGAATCCGGTGGAGGTGAGCCCCGATAGCCGCATGGCCACTCTTCAACTGGAAGAAGCGGGTGGCCAGCGGTTTCAGGGCTCGCGATGCGACTGGGTCCAGTGCCCAGCCTCGTTACGGTCGATAGGTTCGCTGTTTGTAGCGGGAACGCTTTGCACAATGCTGGGTAAGCCAGGCTTGTTTACGGTTTTGGATGTTCTCGGTGCACGTCCGGTTGACAAACCCCAGTGAGAGCCCTGCGACGGCTTCTGGGTGGCACCCCGGTCGACTGGCCGCGAGCTTTGCCGCTTCATCAGCTTTTTCATTTCCCTTAATTCCGGCGTGGCCGGGCACCCATTGAATTATGGGTTCTCGACCTCGCTCCTGTAGAGCTCTGGCCGCTGCATGAGCTCGAAGCGTCAGTTCCTGACCAGGGCCTGCTTGCGTGTGTCGCAGCCTCGCAATCGCGGCTTGGGAATTTAGCCGGACTGTGATAGCGCCGCTGCCATCCATTTTCAGTACAGCCTGAAGGGCCTGAACAACTCCCGCAAGCTCCGCATCAAAAACCTCTCGTCCCTTCCCGAGGGCGAAGCTCCGGGCCCTCCACTCTCCGCAAGGCTCCTGCCAGGCGATCCCGGCTCCGCTTTGGCCGTTCTCAAGCCTTGACCTGAGGAACGGGAAAATGAAGTGCTGGAATTTTCTTCGGATCGCCCTGGAGGCTGGCCCACGTAAACCTTCGTCTCACAGGGAGCTAACTCTAAAGAGGCTAGCCCCGAGCTAAACTAAATCTGATTGTCGTTTGAGCTGTAGCACGTGATGTCGCGTAAGACCGATAATGGTGCCAAGCCATTCAGTTAAGGTTATGATAATGAGCTTTATCGGGAATAGGCTTTTGAGAGTATAGACAAGGTGGTACTATATATGGTGGCGAGGCCTTTTCTCTGTAGATAGATCACTTGAGCGGAACTATACTAGGGATAGTCCTACGGAGTGATAATATCCTGGAACAATACAGGACACGTGAAGAGGCATTATGACGCTAGACTTGTATCTATAGCAAACAATGTCAAGGCAGCATATATTGTGGTATAATAAATATGCCTGATAATTATTCCCGCGGCAATGTATACACTCATAGTTTGATGCAGTCTTGAAATACTTCTACGATGTCATGTTTCCTTAAAGTAGCTAGTCTCCTACTTGCGGAGAGCGCGTGGCGCGGCTTGTTCCGTTTAAGGGCCCTAGTATTTTCCATACACTAGATTTCCATACACTAAGTTACATGATCGTTACCTCTCCCGTGTATTCCCTTTTTCAGTACTTCTATTCTATGTGCCTTTCTACTGCCAAGACTTTCTCCAAAATTGGCATCTCCTCAGGTCAGAAAGCCAGGATGATAGTAAACTCCAAGATACTTAATAAGCTAGACGAAATGACGCTACGCAGCGTTTCTCACCTATCCCGGGCGTTATTGTAGTAGATCTTGGCGTCGTAGTAGCAAAGGACGGATTCTTAGTAGTGGTTGTGATCCTGCAACCTGCCATGCTAACATGATGTAATTTTTAATTTGAATTTAGCTATCATATAGGAGATTGGGTAATTGTTCTGGACAGTTCTTCTCTGTCAAGGTTTGAAATGCGGCGTAGGAGAGGCTGTGTATAAATGTGCGAGTACCTATTGGGCGTTTCATCACACAGGGCATTTCATGTCACCGGGACGGAGGTTAAGCTATTGTTGAGTACCCCCGAAATTGATATCGCGGCTTGTGACAACAGAACCTCTATTGTTCTTTGTCGTCGAAGGAAGTCCTGTAATAGAGCCATCTATGAATCACTCTCTTCATCTGACCAAAAGCTGCGCTGTAACCAGCCCATGGTCCTGGATCTGTCAGAGCCATAATTCAATTGAATCCTGCGACCAAGTCATAGCTTTTCTTTTGTGCCAAATACTAACTGAATGCCTACATGGTGAACTTCTGTTGTCTGGCACATTACAGTTGAAACAAACAATTCTTTTGGTAATACTGGTAATCAGAAATTGGACGGCTTCGAAGCTATTTGCGGACTACCTCAATAATATTTCCATTGGCCGTCACTTTGGCCAATCTCTAACGTTGATTCTGCATTTGCTTGATCCCAGAAATATCACATTTTTCAAATACTCAGATCTTTAACTATGAAGTAATCTGCTTCTTGACTTTCAAGAGAGAGGGGTGCTAGGGAATACTTCTCAACATAGAACTGCTCTGAGTGCTATGAGACTGACCTGATAACAGCTGCAAGCAAGAAGAAAGTAATTGTAGGCCTCTGCGTCTCGTCCAAAGCTACTGTTTTCCCACCTATCACTATACTCTGTACATCATTCTCTGCGCGGTGCAATATCCATTTCTCGACAATGCTACCACATCTCTGGGTTCTGGCATGGTCCTCCCTCCAATCCTTCTGTCGTGGTTATGAGCTCTCCAATGCCATAGACCCAACACCGCTTATGTTTGACAGCAATCCAGCTCAAATGGGTATACCCCTCTTTGCGTTGAAACCCCTCAAACGTCCGACTTCCCAGGTAAAAGAGGTTCAACACGCGAGGAATGTTGGTGATCCGTACGGTAGCAATATTATTGAGGTATCTGCCGAGGCCGCAAATCTGTATAAATATATTCTCCGGTTCGAGGCTCCCAGTATTAGCCAGAGCTGGACCGTGGCGATATGGAATAACTTTGCCCCCGACGGACGTCTAGGAGGTTGGCGTGGCAACGCCTGCAGAACATTCACCCTGGAACGTGGCCAGTTTCGATATATAGCTTTTGATGACGACTCTCAAGGCAGATGGGCTGCTGCTCCAGGTCTGTCCGTGTCAGTTGATGGGGATGGCAGGTATACTGCGACATGGGGAGAGTTCAACTTTGGGTCAAAGATCAATTTCGGCCGATCAGCCTTTGTTGTTTCCACGATAGCCACAGAGATGATGGGCTTGGAAGTTCAAGATATGAGAATATGTGGCGCTCACTCAGACACTTGCTCCTCTGTTTCCGCAAGAGGCGCTGCTGTCCATAATGCCTACACTTCCACGACGGTTAGCAATGGTACAAGAGGGGGCACGATTCTGCCCGGTCCAGTCAGACTTGCGGCTATTATTGGCTCTGCTGGATTTCCATTGCCAGAAAACCGCAGTTAGACTTGCCAGTTATGCCTCGGTGTGGAATTAGTCATAGCATTATTTGCTACTTTGTCCAATGCACACAAAATGGTTAGCATACTCCTCTTTTATCTGGAGGCTGGCGCATGTCTTGCTTTCTTTTGGAATTCATCCAATTTGTCTTCCTCCTCAGTGGCAAGCTCCTTTATACACGAATCCAGTCAGTTATCAACATGCTAGAGAGAAAATATCTCTCGGAATATATAACCGAGGCTGAACTTACCACGTCAGTCTGCCAGCGTCGGAGCATGGCGCTCAAGTCATGTGGGTTATCCAACGCTTCTACAGCTGGGTCAAGGTATTCAGAGAATAGATTCCACTCTGAAGTATCATCCTGACCGTCACTCTCATTTGGTGCTAGAGTAGTAATAAGGTTGTAATATTTGATTCGATCCATACCATCGGGGATTTTGGAACATTGGTAAACAGCAGAACCCGCTTGGCGGAGCAGAGAATCGAAGTCAGCGGGAAGTCTTCGGCTTTCATCATACAAGCCATCCCGCTTGTCAGCCCACTTCCCATGGTTGACTTTCCATTCTAGAACAAGGCGTTCTACTCCCCCAGAGACGAGATAGTTGCCGTCTAGAACGCTTCCGATGTTCAAATTCCGATATTTCACGGTGTTCCTGGTCAGAGGTTGAAGGCGGCCAAGAAATTCCACCTTGGAGAAATCGACAATCTCCTCAAAACATTCTATATGGTATAATGCTGACAAAGTTTAGGTGTTAGAGATCCACAGAATTCAGGAGAAAGCTTTGTGTACATGCACCCCGTCTTCCCCAGCCGTCCTGTTCCATTTCTGGATGCATGACGAGACGAAGGGTTCCTGGTTGGATCGTCCTAACCTGGTAGTCTGCACCTCGCGCCGCGTGTAGAAGGGGGAGCCCACTCGATAAAAAACAGCGACGGTACAGAATGTGCTGTACGGGATGGCTGTCCGCCACCTTTGTTTTCGAGGCTGAGATCCCGAAGAAGGCGCTTTCGCTTCAATGACCGAGCATTAGTTATCTAAAACGGGAGGGGCTGCCATTTCTTCATCCGAGGATGACATGCCGTTCGCGAACGCATCGTACTCAACCTCCTCTACCTAATCGTGAGATCTCACATCAGTAACGACGTCCTCGGAAATTTCGACACTGTATATGAGGAGAATCTTTAGTGCTACAGCCATCAGTTCAGCATCGGAGAACCCACGAGAAGCCATTGAATGACTCAAAATCGTCTTGTATTTCACCTCTATTGTTTCTAATGAATTTCTTGACCCTGCAAACAAGAGAATTGAGCCACAGCATTCCGCTTTGTTGGCTTAGAAAACTTACTCATTCACCTGGTCAGGTAGTACGTCTTCGTAGCATTCGACCTGACAGTAAATTTAAAAAATTGGCATGAATTGAATGAATACGGGTATAGAAAAATATAGGGCTGCTCACGAGATAGTAAGACATCCCAGTTGATTCTGAACAAGCTCATTAAGCGTTGCGTGGGGGCGAAGGACTGCTCGTTTTATGGGATCAGATGGCTAGAGAAGAGCTACTCTTAAATAGTTCCCGGTAGAATATCACATTGTAGGCTACAATAAGTGAGGGTCTGAACAAACGAATATTATTTGCCCCGTTTTCTAAACTAATAATGCGGCCCTTTCCTAGCACAAGGCTTCGTCCCACTTAGTGTGCGCAGCGAGCCTCAGCCCGCAGCCACGACAAAGACTACCAAATAGGACGCCACTGCGGTGCGTCACATCACGCGTGCAATTGGGGTCTACTTCCGCAGCAGGCCATGAACATAACGGACCAACGAAATCACGCCTCACCGGGAGGAACTTGACCCACCTTCCCAACAGTTGGATGCCGCAGTGCACTGCCTGACTTGTTCAGCCGAAGGTGCAGACTGTAGGTGGCACAGTCAGGCCAAGAATTGTAATTCCATATTTTACATGATCGTTTCCAATCCCTGTCGATTGCTGCATCTTAGATTGGAACTCAGGCAGGGTCAAGACGGAACAGGCATCGAGTGTTGGCTCTGAGCTACTACAAAAGCTTCACGTCAATTATGTCAGCGTGGTTCAGTGGTAGTTAAGGCGTCGATGGTTGATAACAATCTTCCGAGATGTATTTAAAGAGCTCCAGGTCGAGCATCATCGGAATCCCGAGCAGGATGGTACGGAGTTCAACTGCCACTTTCAATTTTGGATTAGAGCCCGAGGGCGCATTCTTCATCATTTGCGTATGTCCTCCACTAAACCTGTACCCGGAATAGGGAAGGTCTGATCACGGAACAGGCGTCGTTAATTGTGATTTTTCAATCGTCAGTCCGAGTTCAGTTTTAACTGACTGAGAGTTTCACGGAGCATGATTACGTCACCACTCTCCCGACGGGTCAAACCGCCAATGTACAAATGCAAAACGATACCCCCCAGAGAAGATCAGAATCCATAATCGACAAAGCCCTCACTCGACGATGGGTCGTCATCAGCAAGCTGTCCTTGGGCAAGCCTGTCGAATGCCTGACAAGGTGGAGGCTTGGATACTGGGAAGCAGTGTTGCGTCATTGGCATCGGCAATTCATTTAATTTCTGATGCCAACGTGCCCGCCTCTCATATCCATATTCTTGAATCTGACGGCACACCTGGAGACGGTATTACTAGTACTGGCGATCCGATAAGTGGATATGACCATCGGGCAGGATGCTTGCCAAGCTTCAATGACGTTTGTATGAGAAAACTGCTTGCGATGGTGCCTTCCGTCAGCGGCTCCGGGAGAACAGTTTTGGATGATATAAAAAATTCTTACTACGATGAAGTTTGCCCGGATATTCCTGTCACACATGTCTTAACCCATGGGGATCAGGGACTGGAGAGACTGAAAGTCAAAAGAATCGACCTGGCCCTAAAAGACCGAATGAAATTGACGCTGCTCATGTTGGGATCCGAGAAAAGATTAGCCAGAAAACGGATTGACCAGCTTCTCAACAAACCATTTTTCGATAGCAGATTCTGGATCGTCTTCTCTACTCTGTGGGTTGCCTAGATGAAGGAAAGCTCGGCGATTGCACAAATACTGACATAGAGCCTCAGATTTTCCTTCCAGCCGTGGCACAGTGCTGCCGAATTTCGTCGATGTCTTCGCAGATACCTCCCTGAATTTCCAAATCTGAACACTAAGAAACCTCTCGATTGCACTCAGTTCAATCAATTTGAATCCGTCATGATGCCAATCATCCAGTTTCTTCAAAATCAAGGAGTTGATTTCCGAGTCTGCACCAAGGTGACGGATATACTTTCACATTCAGACGGCGCTGCGGAAACGGTTTCAGCAATTCATATATTGCGTGATAGCTCGCAGGAAATGATCACTATACGTCCCGATGACATCGTTATCGTTTCGCTTGGATCTGTTACCTCGGGGTCGATAAGTGGCACCAATAAAAGCCCGCCTTTACTGGAGACGATGGTTGCGGAAAATGAGCTTGACGAAAATTGGTCGTTATGGCTAGATCTGGGGACAAAGAATCCAAAATTTGGAAACCCGCACAATTTCTGCACTCGCACTGGAGACTCCAGGCTAGGGTCGTTTACGGTTACACTCAAGGACAAGGAGTTTTTTGAACGCTTCACCAAACTGACTTGTGACAAGCCCGGCATTGGGAGCCTTGTGTCTCTCCAAGACAGCAATTGGATGATCAGCGTGTGCATCCCCCGCCAACCATTTTTCTCACGTCAGCCCGACAATGTGCAAACCTTCTGGGGCTATTGTCTCTTTCCAGAGCGTAAAGGTAATTCAGTGAAAAAACCTATGCTCTGTTGCTCTGGGGAGGAAATAATGACGGAATTACTATGGCACCTTGGCTTCCCCTTGGAACCAATCCTAAAAAGCTCTATTACGATTCCGTGCGTGTCGCCACGGAGGACAGCTTCGTTATTGCCTCGGACTTGTGGGGATCGTCCAGAGGTGATACCAGAAAAGACGAACAATCTTGCTGTAATCGGCCAATTCGTGGAAGTGCCTGGTGAGACGACTGTGAGCATGGACTATGGTGTACGAGCGGCCCAGTTAGCAGTGAGCCGGTTGATGAGCCTTAACAAAATGCCGGGGAAGGCGAAAGTAAGACCTACCTTGTCTGTCCTTAACTTATGGATTTAATGGCACAGACCGAAAGTACTACACAACTCCTAGTAGCAAGAAAGTCCCAAGCTCCGTAAACCGCAACGTTAGACTGCCAGTGAACATCGGGGAATCTGACGATTTAAGGATCAGTTGACGGAGAGCAGGCCGTAAGTTAGTTGTTGTACAATAATAGCATACTGATAAATGAATGTACAGATCGATGCTTTTAATTTCACCCCCTTTGACAAAGGCACGAGACTTCCCTTAGTGTGTAGGGTAGTCCCCGCCCTGCTCCTCCTTGTTTGTCGAGTCCTCATGCTCAGCGTGTGTCTCGTGGCAGAGAAGACTTCTTCTCTCAGGACTCATGTCCTTCTTCCTATACAGGTCCTCGTTGGCATCCATGGAGGCATTGCTGGTGCTGGGAACTGGAGCAAAAGGATTGGAAATGCTATCGCGATGGGGATGAGCTCTCCCAGTTTGAATAGAGCCATGGTTGGTCACTCGATGAGCTGCGGAAAGAGCGAAGTCACCGGAGTCGAAGTAAGTCCGCGTCTTCTAGTTTTCAGCTGGGTCTTCAACTAGTTACATCCCAACAATCCCCACAAAATACCTTAGATTGCTTCCCAAGCAGATCTTCAGGAGGCCGCTTTTCATAAGTGCTAAAGTGGCGTTCCTCGTGCTCAGATAGTGGCTAAAGAGATTAGAGATGTGGTTAGCCATATCTACTTGGTGAAGAACATAGAAAAGTCGCACCAAGGAATGCGATTCCTTGCCAGCTGATTTCATTCTGGGAGATCGATTTCGAAATGTAAAATAGACAGCGTACGATCATCTGATCCTAATAGCTAGGTGTAGATTTACCACCACCTAATAACGTGACATACCAATGACGCATGACTCCTGCAGAACAGGAGACCCGGAATATAGTAAATCCGGTATCGATGTACTCAGTTCGACAACAATCTCACGGATTGCAGCGGAATTAATGACACGGTCGGTGCATCAGCGGTATGCTCGCAACTCAGGATACTCGCTCAGTGTACATGGGAAAGATCGCCGTGCAACAGTGGGAAAGCTGGTGTCAAACCCCGCTCCCCAGGCAGAACGGCGGTGAGTGCCTAACCAGGGCCTGATTGGCCGCACCACGGGATCTCGATCTTACGTTTCAAATCTCACAAAGATCCGGTCGTGATGAGTTTTACAAGGTCACCTGACCTGTGACGAGGGGTTTGGGATGCTGCTTTATGTCCAATATTCTCGATATTTTTCCTGCCTTGCCCAGCAATCGCATTCAAATCCTTTGCACACTCAGTCCTATTTCTCCCCGCCTATGGATAACTTCTGTGATTCTCTTGGAGAGACGAGTTGCGAAGCCAACCTCTCCAGCGTTGGGGCATCCTAGGCCTTATTCCCGAGCGCGAGTTCTCCAGGTCCTGTACTCGAAAAAGATCACCACTAAGCATCTTTCCCCCCAAGCCTCCACCAGTTCTAAGGCTTAATGCTCTGCCGATGTTTTTCAGCCCTCAAATCCTCCTTGCTTTTACCAGTGTGTTTCGATGAAAGCGCCATCGCAGTAGCAGCAAGACACAGCGTATTTTCGATGACATGGATACTGTATTGTCTTCAAAGATTAGATTTTTGATTGACGCTTTTGAGCACGTTCAAAAAGCATGACTGCATTCTCTAGGATGCCCCAATCCCAGTATGGCCCTGCAGGATCATGAACTTGTCCTGTACTTATATCCAGGTCCAGAAGGTATCTCGCCATCGAGAACCGCTGTACGACCCCGTTCACTCATGCGAAAGACCTAGTCGCTAAATACTGGGTCTCGATTTCTGGGATGAGGCCAGGAATAACCTCCCAAGCTCGTGCGTTCGTCGTCGCTATGCGGCCGTGCGACAGTGAAACTGCAATCCTGATTGAGAATGCCCTGCGGGCTCAGTCAGGTTCGATATTAGAGAGAGGACAAGGTACCTACATGTAAGAGAGAGTAGACATGGATTGGCCGGGTTGTGGCGGACTTTCACGGAATTCTCCGTCAGTTATGAGATGCATACAAATGTTGGAAAGCATACTTATATGCGACGACAAGTTTTAGGTTACCCATTCTTGGGTCCGTGCGAATCTCTTAGGCCACCGAGCATTGTTGTAGTGTCGGCCCCTCCAGAGAAATGAGCGACCCTTTGCGTAGCGCACAACGGGTCATTGCTGTAGCATGCCTGGGCCAATGTCAGGTTATTTCGTGTTAGCTATGTTAATCACTTACAGCGGCTCCCCCTGCGGTGAAAATGACAGCATTTAACACAGAAATCGGAAGTCAAGTCCGCCAGATCCTTAGTCGAATTCGGGTTTACTTCCACGATTTGCCTAATTGATGTTACTAATAGAGTTAAGCGTGAGTGAGCTATTATGAACACGATAAGAATAGATATAATACTAGGCTATAGTATATGCTTTAAAGCTTTACAAAGGGACCGGAGTAGACTTTTACCTTTTTCACGACTCTTAAAGTTCCTATACAGAGACACGTTTCGGCCTGTCTGTTGATCCTAGAAAGCGTCGAGGATTTTAGCAAGGGTCTTCTGATGAACTGGTGAACTCTGAAGGCGATGAATATTGCGTGCTTCGATCTCTAAGCTGACCCGCGTGCAATGTTCAAGCAACTTTCCATGTAGCAAATGGCGGAGAAGTATAACCTTGTCTTCGTCTCGTCAGCTTTTAGAATGCAGTCAGTAACAAGTATCATACCCCTTTTCAACATGCTCCGAGGATGCATCAAATTTATACCCACAGGCCACTATACCGGCGTTGGACCAGAGTAGTTCAATTCCGGTTCAAACAGCCCAATCCAATTGTATGCCAAATCTCCACAGATGTCGTGAAATCGCTGAGCCAGTCTTCGTAGGATCTGGATCGAGAGGGTTTATTATGTTCAAACGAAGGACAGCTCATATCGAATACAATGAGGAACATCTCCAAATTTTCGAACTTAAAATCAAGGAGTCTTCCTTTTGGCCTCCGGTACTTATACAGCCCTTTATTTGTATTGCTGTTGTTGATTTCGTTTGCTCATGTAGGCGTCTAACCTAGTGATTTGATCGATCATCCCTTAACAGTGCTAGTTGTTTCGCTAGTGGGAATTATTCGGCCTCCCATTATCTTTGATTGACACGAGCCGACTGCAAATCTTTGAATGTGAAGGGAATAGATAGACAAGATCCGCTTTTCAAGTGCAACTTAACCGCACTAGATTGTCTTTACAGCCTGGTTTAGATCCGTTGAAGCAGCTAAAACAGTATGGAGAGCGAATGGGATCAAGATCTGTTTTTGGATTGTTGGTACGTCACAACATAGGTAAGCGTAGCGAATGGATCTAACCAGGTGTGGCTAGTAGGTAGCTGAATATATTAATGTATCCTTTATGAAGTATGCTTGGACAAGACCTAACTAGGCACATATTGCTTCGTCAGCTGTAGCTGGGGCGAAGGGGCAATCGCGGTTTGCAGTACAGCCACAGTATTTTCAAGCTCCTCAAGGTGTCGATCCTGCGCCTGGGCCTCCTCGAGTAGTTGCTTGAATTCGTTACGGAGATGACCTTTCTAGTGAGCTCTTCATCGAAACAAAAGCCTTGTTCTGCGATGCGAAGCATTTACTCCTTCCTGATATGGTTTGACAGCAAGGCTTCCGAAGGTACGTACTCTTTGGCAGCGCATATGTTGAAAGTAAAGGAAAGAGGTGTCGAATAGACTGAGCCTTCTCATGAATCCACGACCCACCACGCACAATACCCTTCTTGCCATCAAAGTACACCACCGGGAACAGTATATCAGGGATTTCGACGATAGAGTGACCATTAATCATGCCACAAATGCATAAGAAGCACGTCATTTCGGTCAAAAGCAATATCCAATATCCCCCGCTTCTGGCACAACACTACTAGATGTCTAGGTAGAGGACAGGGGCTGGGTAGATTGCATGAAGTCTTACCCAGATTCTGAACCTTTCGGCGGCCATCAGACTGTATCTCTACATAGTTCACAAACAGCGTCAAGTCATCAAATACTTAGTTCTATCTATTCGTATAGAGGGAAGCTCAAGGATATAGCTTTTGATAATCTGTGAAATTCTCTCCGAGATCTGACTAGTGAGAGACAAGACGAAAAATTTAGATGCACGGAAGCCATGCCCTTGCGGCCCGAAGCATAGCGAGCAGTTCTTGTGCACCATCGGAAAAGGCGTTGTGATCAGCCCGAGATCTTCCTTATATTATCGGGGATAGCGCTCCAGTCCCCAATATCTTCATTTGAGGATAGGTTATGTTTGGTATAAGCTCGTCTTATCGAGAAACCACTTTGGTAACGTTAGCTTCCTATGATGAAATGGCGACCTTCTTAGAGAACTGACATATAATCTAAGAGTCTCGCTACCGTCGAAGTGTGACTGTTTATGGTTCCAAATTAGTTCTAACCATAAATAGGGGTAGTTTAATGCGCACCTCATTCGTCCTACAAGATACATATAACCAACAAACGCAGAAGTTTGAATCTTTTCGACAACCATTCGATCTTGCAATGATTGAAGACTGTTTCCACTTTTCTGATGAATGACGTCGCTATACAACGCAACCTATACTTCACGGAATTCATGACTAGACACTTGTTAGCGCTAGTTTATTTATACTGAATTAATCTAAATTAAGCTATAATCATCTTACAGCGGTTAACCCTCTAAGTTAAAGCTCTGCCATACAATCAGAAAATCACGTTAGAAATTAACTAGCAACCTGCGGCACGGGTTGTGGACCAAACTTGTATTCCTAGACTGAATATACTGCGATTGATACCTAAATCCGCGCTTAACTCTGTGTCGATCGTATATCCGGCTCGAACACCTAGCGACTCAACCCGGTATATCCCTATATCTTTGTTAGAAGGGTTATTTCTCTGGTAACCAGTAGTACGAGATAAGTATGAGTATCTGTTAATGGGCTCGCGTCTTTATTCGGGACGTACCTCCTTCGTGCATAAGATCGATCCGCATAGAACCCGATATGCAGGCAATCTCACCTCGTCGAATAAGTAGTATCCCACCAAGGATTTCCCCACACCATTGAAAATTACGATAAGCAGTAACCCTCTTCATAACATTACCGAGTTCATTGATAATACTTCCGTCGCAGACTATATTACAGATAAAGAACTACAGAAGCTAAACATTTGCTAGTGGATATTAGCGACTCCGAAAATCCCACAACACCCGGTGTTCTACTTACAGGACTTATATAACCGCGAAGATAATTTGTAAGTATTTAGGAAATCAAGCCATAGGTTTAAAAATAGCACAGATGGTCTGCTCTTCCCATTTATTACCTGTATCCATCCAGAAAGCACATGTTCGCACACTTCGTCGGGTAGCAGCCAAAGCATTCTCTGATAGTAATCTGAAAGCGAATTCTGAGAAGATGGTGCGCATCCTTCGGGCCTATGTGCTATAAACCTTTCATTAGGTGACGGGTTGAGCGTCTCCATGGTTTGAAGGTCTCGTAATCTCTCCATTAAACGAAACCTTTGAAGATTCCCGGGTTACGATTCTAATTATGTGGTCGCACCCGTTACTTATATGAAGTGAGAATACAATCCTTTACACTCCTGTTTGTATGGTCCACGGAGCAAATCCAAAATGATCTGAGAGAACCCAAAAATTGAAAAGGTTTGTGATGAATAATGTGCAGCAGCAGCGCTTGAATGTCCCATCTAAGCCATGAAGGTACAACGAATGGTCTCGGTCGGCCTATACTAAATAGTCAAAGGCCCAAGAAACAGAAATGGTATATTTTACATCCATATCTATTTTCCTCCTTCCTGGTTGGCCTTAACAGTAACAGATCTCAATACACGGGTTCTTTCGCGGCACAGGATTTAACATGTAATATAAGACTCGCATCACCCGAAGCTTCCCCTGGGCCTTGGATCCACCTCGCACCGTACCTTCATCGTCGTGGTAGTTCGAATCGAACCTTCTGTTCGAGACGAGTTCGTGGGGGATTGTACCCAGTACCCCTGGATTTCGGACTAGCTAGGCGCTTTGGGAGTTGTGGTGACAGCAGGAAGTCAAAGGATTGTATGAACTCAAGATAGGGGATAGTTTGCTGACTATAGGCCAGGTAATCGGCATAAAGACTTTCCCACACCTTCTTATTGATCGGGCTTCGCAGGAATCCACGGATCAAGTCTGGGTCATTGAAATGCCAAAAGATAATGGCTAGCTTAAGGCGAGTGCCGTACGTGAGAAGTTGTACGGTGTATTGCGCATTCATATCCACAGACATGGACGAAAGAGCTCGAGCGTATTCCTCTAGCTCAGTAGGTGGTGCCTGTAACTGGTTCTGTAACTCTAGGCGCCGTCGGAGAAGCATTCTAGCATCTTGACCCAGAGAATCCTGAGCAATTGTTGAACAATCTGTTCTCAATTCCAGTAACAATTCAATAACCATTCTTGCCGGCTGGTCTAGGATCTGATCACATAGCTGCGAAGCCATATTACATTAGCATCTAATATGAGCAATGGGTTCTTAACACTAACCATAATAGATCTTTTTGATATTATTTGCTGTTTTCCTGCAGTATCCGGCTTGGCCGGTTGCCGAAGGATAGGTTGTCGCTCATCGTCAGTATGCTGTGGCATACATTTCAAACCATGGCCAGTGTATCCCGCGTGCTCATGATTCGGGTTCATCACGCTGTCCTTGTAGAACGTGGCAAACAGTAACAATGTAGAAGGATTCGAGGAATGAAAAACTGTCGGAAATTGAAGACGAGGTCCCTTTATTAACATGGCAGGGCTCGACGGCAGGGGCTTATGTTGTCCCGAAACGGCATATTATAGAGCTCACACCTTTCATGGCGATATATGGACCCGCTACTTTACCGAATCTAAGATTGGCACAGCAAAGAGGATCAACATGCACAAGAATACTTTGACTTGTTCCATAACTTATTGTGATACCGATATCTAAAGCACGGGATGGTCCTTTCTTTGCGATTTCTCAAATCCTTTTTTTTTCTCTCCATAGCAAAACTATTTTCATGTAGGCTTAAATCTTCCAATGGCCTACCTATCGCCGTTTATCTCTCCTAGATATGCCTTTCCCCTGTATGATACCTCAAATCCTGCTTTTATCTCTCCTTAGAGGAAACCATCTTCATGTAGGCCTAAATCTTTGAACAGCCTTCTGATCACCAACTATCCTTCTTAGATCCTGATAATAACACAAACGTGCTGTTTCTAGCTACGTTTTTTAATAAGAAATTTGCAAGACTCTGATCACCAATTCATTCGGGATGGAGCGTTCATAATGCGGTACTCTATGATACCTCCAGGAACAATATGTCAAGAGTATTGACTGTGCCATGATTGTAAAGCAAGCCCCAAAACTATTCAATTTTCCTTCATTCCTTCCGTAAATTCAGATCCAATTTTTTGCCTGGCAAAAGATTAGTACATATAGGGAGAGGGGAAGATAGATAGACAGTGACTTACACACGTCTAGATTATCTGATTGCTACTGGGTGGCATCGGGCCAGACAAATTGGAGCTTGGCTTTGAATAGCACTTCCACCTCGAGGGGATAGATGGAAGCTCAATTGTGCCATTATCCATGCCATGACTTGGGCATAAAGACTCGCTCCTAGTTCTGCTTTGCAGAGCCAGTGATTCTGTGGCCGCCAATAATGAGAGGCAAGATAAACCAAACCAGTCCGCCACTTACTCACCTGACGTAGGTTTAAAATAAGGGGAAAACGAGTCTGCTTCATTCCTTGAGTGTTTTGGATCGTTTTTAAGGTAGACAGGATCAGATTTATAGACCATCCCTTTCGAATATGTATGCAAAGGTGTGGTGTCAGGAATCCCTCGATGTAAATCCCCATCATGACTTTGTCCGTCTTCCTCGCACCAAAAAGAATCATCATCATTAGAAGAATCCTCGTCATTGGGATAAAGACCCATTGACTGTAAGCAATTGGCAAGCGGGGTCGGGAAACAGAAAACAGGTAGCCAATTCATGACAAAATTGTGTGGGGGAAGTTGAGAATCTGAAATGATCTTGCTAAGGGCAAGGCTACCTGCAAGTGCGCTATGGAAATTGATATATAGATCTGTAATATTCGTTGAAGAGCATCCGTCCAGTCAAAGCTTTGAAAAATTTGACACCGACCCGACCCTGCATCGATGAAAAAGGTTATAAAGGTGCTATCAAGAAAGAGATCGTCGCCGTGGTCAATGATGTGTTGCCGATTACAGCTATGATACTGTTCTCAAGTTGACCCTGGAATTTTGGAAAACCGCGTGCTTCAGCCTCGAATAACTTGATCTGCTTCTTGAGTCAACCCAGTAAAGCTTCATTGAGATGCTGCCAACCCGATATAGAGAATGATTGGCAAGGATGCAGCGTTAAACGATGCATTCAAGTCTTTGCTGGCCCTAAATTAGTCCGATACTATGGGCTGGATCTGAGCTTGAATTATATTGTGTACTTATTTGAATATTAACTTTTATCTTTACTTCATGTCAAGATTCTGGAAAGGCAATGAAGTCACAAACAGCCACCGGGGACCAAGGTCCAAAATGTGAGGCCAAAGTCACCAAAGGGACTGCTTGAGAGGGTGGCATAACTAAGAATGTGCTGAGAAGCTCGTCGTTCACACAAACGATCTGTCAAGCGAATGATACGCCGTGCAGTGACCCCGTCCCTCCTAGATCCTGGAAGAGGTCAAGCAGCTAAGAATTTTGGGTGAAATCCCTTAGGTCAACCCAATTCATGGGAAATTCGATTCTTGGCTCCAGTAGCTCTTTAGACTATTTGTGTATGGGAATCCGAGTCCGCTGCTTGCCGTGCCAAGACAATCGGAACCATGTTGCTGAGCTGGAGAACAACGATGGCCCCGAATTGCCCAATCATATCCAACTCCAAACACCAAGATTCAGGGGGACAGCATCGTGATCCTAAAGAAGGACGGCTGCAAGTACCTCTTGTCAAGGCTCTTCTCTTGTGGGTCGGGCTACGCTGGGGGTGGGCGGCCGAGGCTTACAATGCACTGTAGTTAACGTGATCAATCAATATGAGAGGCTGAGAAGCAACATACCTGGAGTCGGTGTGTTGCCGGTAGCATCTTTGCTTTCTCATTTGACATAGCTGCGTCTGAGTTTTGAATTGGCGTTGGTGGCGGGCGATAAATCACAGCCGGCTACTCCATTGGAGATTTGGTTAGGATGTAGTTGCAAATGCGTTTGGCGATGACAGGGGTAGGGCCTACCAGGCCCTACCCCTGTTGGATACCAAGACGGAGCGGTGGAGTGGATGGGAATAGGAGGGCGGTTGGTTATGCATAAGGCGAGGGCTGACCTGCAGCCTCTTTTATTCAATGCATACGAAAGGATAAGGATAGAAATAATATTCACTACCTCCGCATCCTGCTCAGTGACCAGATAAGAAAGAAAATGCATGAGGAAACTGAAGCCTAATGTAGTACAAGGAAACGGAGGCCGATTGGTAAGGAGATCTCAGCACAGACCCAGCGATCAACACGATCGACAATAACCCAGTGAGAAAACATATGTGGGGTCTGGGGCTATGTACTGTACGCCTGATGACAGGGGTAGGGTCTAGTAGGCCTTACCCCTGTCTACCCAATCACCTGTTATTCCATTTTCAAAACTTTCCCCGCTCTCCTTCGACCGTCTTCCCTCATGGACATCTCCCTTCATCTTCTTCATAGAAGATGGATCCGCATAGTCCTTCCTGTTATGTGTCCAGTTTGGAAAGACAAATCCAGAGCCTTCACCTGATATTGCAGGAATGGGCGGCATATGTGCCGCAGGATGTTGTTCTGAAATCCAAGATTTCGTTCGTGGTCAATCCCTAGGTCCCTCAGCTTGAATCTTCACAAAACTTTCTGAGCAGCCAACGTCAAAAGACCTTGCCTCCAAGTCAACACAAACCAGAAGAAGCATAGAGGAAAACATTGATTTCCTTTATCAAAAAGATACCCACCGCTAAAAATTGGTCTGAGGCCATATCCCTCGCATCTCTCGATACCGAATCTCTCTTATCACCATCCATTCTGCAGTCACTACTAAAAGAGCCCGGTCAAATTGAAGGAGGTCTTTCTTCAGGACCGGTTATCCAACGTCAGTATATAAATATACTCCATACGCTGAAGTCTTATGCTTTACTCACGCAAAATTGCGCAGAGAGTGCAAAACTAGCGAACTCATCGCATGCTATTAAAAGTTTCTATTCGTTACACTTTGTCATGTTGCATATTGCGCCGGTACCGACGAAAATGTGGTTAACAAGATGATAGGGTCGATTTCAAATGGTAACCCCGAACATCTCCGACAAATGCGGCTCGCCGCGGCCTGGGGAGTCGCGGCGGTTGATAGGCTTCAATGCAAGAGCAACTGGGGTATGAGAACTAGCGATATCCTCTTCTACTGTCTGTACACATTTTATCCATTTTCATTAGCCTATATAGTACTAACCATGGAATCTAGTTACTCCGTCATTCTATTCATTGAGAAACATAGCCAAAGGGAAGCAGTCGATAGACGTCTTCACGGCCTCTCTGTCTCAAAGTCAATATACAGAGATCAACGCTCGTCTACCGAAACTTCACGTGAACAATCTTTCTGTGCCTTGTATAATTAAGTGCATATTTAGGAAAACTGTTCAGTGTGTGCACAATCCCCGAAAGTGCTGCCATTTACTAATACTTATCTTTCAGAATTTCTGAGATATACAAATCTCTACGCGCTGATTTTAAGATCGCGAGGGATATATTTACCACGTGGTATTTGGAACCATTTGGCTCGAATACTTTTGACGATCAAGAGCTCTCAAGCATATTCTCCCCTACGATTACTGTATCTCCAAGAACCCAGTAGGGAATTAGTCCAAGTGATAGAGTGGTCATCTCTGCGGAGGATGTGCGGAAAAGACGGCGTACTGATAATGGAGCGGGTTCACCGACTACAGAGAAAACCCCGTCCGATTCATATAACCAGTCTACAATCGATACGGCAGGTCCGACAATTTCTACAGATACTCTTACAATCGCTAATAATAATCAGATCAGCCCCCGGCCTTGTCCATCGAGTAAGCTCCTTAACCCGTTATAGTCATTCAACCTGGTACTGACTATCGAACAGCGTACGTTAATGCGGACTGTGAAGATACATCGCAGCAGTCCGCACGGGAGAATCCAGTCCTCTCTGCTACAGGTCTACAATTGAGCGATAAGCGGCAGATGGGATGGCCAGTGTCCCAAGCGCAACATTATTCAAGTAAGTCGCGGTTTGCAGATTAGTAGACAAACAGCTAAAGTCCGTTCAGATCATATTCCTCCGCTTTCGGCTCGCTCGCCGGATACCGCGGATGTACAGGGACTTACGTATTCCGTTCCATGCTTCAATACGATATCTGCGATCCCGTTCTTGCTAGATTCCCCTTTTCCAGTTCATTCCTTACCGCTTCCGTCTAGTTCGCTTAACTATTGCATTCCATCATTTTCTCAAATAACGGGCATCCCTTCCCCTATATAATACCTAAACTCATTCCAGACTATCAAATCGTTTCTCTGCCCCAAGTAACCACACAGATACACGAGTTCAAAATCTCGATCAATCCGCTCCATTCTACCGAGTCGCCCTTCGCGAGTGGTATTTTTGCCTCATGGTTAACAAGGGACACAGTTGCGTTCTCTTCGTAAAGGCGGATTGCTGTTAAAGTGCCGTAGGGTTCTCGTGGGGATACTCCGTTCGAAAATTTGATCAAGCTCGTCTTCATGTTCTACCGAGACGTTAACTAAAATGGAAGAAATAAAGATTTGCATATTTCCGATACCTCCTTTTGAAAAGGCCGAAGAAGTTCCAACGGGACATTTCGACACAGTCTCATATGTGGCGCATCCTCCGTTGCTGAGAACTCTGCTTTGGGCAGCCAGTCGCTCAGGAGATCGCAAGAAACCTGATTAGGGTTTTTCGTAGTCGGTCGGAGGTAGGCCATGGGTCCATTCAATGAAAAGCCGCTAGCACTGATCTGAAGTGCACACCCGTATGTTGTGCGAGGGACATTCTGTAATCGAACATGGTAACCACTGTCCCCAATTACAGTGTAGATGTTTCATGCCACTGGATACCTACGGCGTTGTGTCCTCCATGCGAACGGTGTCCCCTGGAACCAATGGCAAAGTTTCAAAAAGATAGCTCTGGCACGGGCCTCTCTGTTTTTCACAGCTTCTGATCCTCCGTACTTTTCCCGCTCCCGCCACGCTTCGGCAGCGTTACCTCTCTTTTCTGATGCTGATGCGGCTCTGAATTTTGAGATTTTCGGAGTAATGATGGGCAAGCACACTTTTCCATTTTGGCTTTACAAAGTACCAGAGCTTTTATCACGACTGAGATTTTCTCAGCTCAAACACTTGTTTGAATGGCCCTCTTGGGATAGTTGTTATTCGCCCCTGTACCCTGAATATATCTACTACCTTGTCAAAAGTTTCAGATAGCCTCCGTTCCAGTCGACTCTATGAAGGCTGTATCTTCGACAAGAACCGAGATTCAACATCACACGTATTGTTACGATGGACCTTGGCCAGTGCGTAATTGACCAGTACATTTGCAATACCGCACTCAATTTGAGATAGTCAAAGACACCTTGGGGAATACCCGTAGCCATCCGCACTGCCGTAACAAGTGCGCGCTACCGTAAATTCTCTGGTCCAGGGGCAGTAAAATCTCTACCATGGGTACAGGTGGCTTTCGAACTTTTTTCTAGCTATAGCTTTAATTATGGCCCTTGGGTCTTCCGCTTATCGAAAGTCTCCAACTAGGAACGCTATCACTGGCAGTAACTACTCGACTGTAGTTCCTTTGGGAAGGTTCTATCCGCATCGTTATCGCTCCCGAATGGCTTGCCCCCAAAATCAGATTCAGTCCGGATCCACTACCCTCGAGTGCGATTTGACAAGGCGAGTACTCGACACTCCGTAGAGACAAGATACAGCCCCTATTCGTAAGTCTTTCTGAGGTGGGCAACGATAATACACTTTTAGGATCCGACAAGCAGTGTCCGCTAATCCCGCCTAGTACCCGTATCCTCGGGAGCTAGCGGATCACGTGCCATGTGACCTGCCGGCTGACGTTGAATCATCGGTCAATCAATCAATCAATCAAAGTCCTCACAGTCCCACCTCAAGCTATCACTACAAGCACCAAGATGTGTGCGGCACTACCTTTGATCAATTTGTCCATGCCAATCTCGGAGGCATTGTCCTCAGAGTTGAGAGCTTCCCTCTATCGGTTTGGAGCCTTCCGCTTAGCAGCTCCTGCTCCTGACACCACACAACGCAATTACAAAACTGTCGTCCAAAAGGTAGGCTAAGCTTCTTGTCCAACATTGGTACCCATCACTAACGCAATTTTAGGCTCAGGAGTTTTTCCAACAGCCAGTGACCACTAAGATGAATTTGACGGAATACTCTGCATTTGCGTCAGAGCGCGTTCGTGGGGAGACTGCAATATACAAAGAAAGCACCTATTATTTCCGAAATGACGTCGAACCAAAGTATTCCAAGGGTCCGTCAGACAACCTGTTTCTTTCAGTCAAAGCTCTACATGAAGTAAGTCTAGTATTTCTCTCTGATTTTTCTCTAATCATTCATTATGCTGATTTTCTTTTCCAGGAGTGGACCCCAATCAGACTGGATTTGTTGAATACTTTGTCGCAAGTTCTGTGGCAAGCATCCGGGAAAAATATTCCTCTAACGGGTGACTCGGCTCTCAACTCGACTACTGTTGGCGTCCACTACTATGACTCCTCTCGCTGTTCTTCCGACTGCAGCTATTATCTCAGTCCGTCGCATAAGGACAGCGGCACATTGACAATTCTATTCCGGTCTCATGATAAGGACGACGGATTGGAGATCGCCGATCTCAAAACCACAGAAAAACGAGGCAGCGAAGGAGTTGGGTCGGAGGCATCGTTTATACCAGTCCCTACACCAGGGATCGATATGACTGAGGTGGTCGTCTTCGCAGGTATAAAACTCCAGAATTTATTCGGGCGAGACCGAGTTCGAGCTTGCGTACACAGAGTACGTGGTCCAAGCCCCGACAGCCGTACAGAATCCTGTGTCCGGCGCTTGAGCATAGCGATGTTTTGCGCTCCTTCCACACCTGCCACTCCAATCACCCCACCCTCTCAATCATAGGTGAATGTAAATCCAGCCAGGTTGTGAATCCAGTGTCTCCCCCAAAGGAACACCATTCGACATTGTAACAATGTAACAAGTATCTTTCCAGAGCATGCAGTAGTATAGAGCAAGAATCGCTGAATCAGAAAGCCGACCGCTTCACTGCTTGCCCTATGTGCCCGGCTTGGCTGGTTCTAACGCTTCTTTCCCCTGACGTCTGCAGCAGAATCCAAGATTTTCATATTCGTCTGAGGTATGATGACTGTGGCCTTCTTTCAGGATTGCGGACCATTCCTGTTCCGTAAAGAGGACATGGTTTTATGAGTGGTGCTAGGCTGCCCTTCAATACCGGCCAATTTTCTTGAGCTGTGGTTGAAGGCTCTGAGGCTCCGCATCGACCGCGGCAAACGATATGAATCCAAAAACATCAGCTAATTCTTGCTGAGGTGATCGGTGGGAAGTGCATACTGATCTTCTGCAATTTCTCGTAGCTGGTGCCGTGTAATAAAAGACCCATGGTATTTCATTTCAAAAACACACTCGTCAAATTACGGACAGGCTAAGAAATGACTGATTAAGCATTGTAAAGGACGGATCATCGGCGAGTCAGCTAAATATAAAGTTGGATTCGTTTCCCCCTTGGTCGCACGCTCCAGCCCGTCGCCCTGACAGAACGCCTTGATATCTGTCCCTTCGGGCATCCTCTGCGATTTTCAGGAAAATGCCGCCTTTGGTTGTTGAAACATATATGTTCGACGCTAGGTAGGAAAATCATCATGGGGAATTAGTATGATACTACCATCATCCTGGCGTATGAACAAATGCATAGTATCCAAAAGTTCGAGTAATTTTTGTCTTGGAAGAAGAAACAGTAATCCGGTTTTTTTTTTCAAATCAAGTAACTTGTGAGGCCTAGCCTAGGTGGGTGACCTGAATCAGAGGGGAGTGAGGGTTTCAAAATAGCTTCCCCATTCGTATTCATAGACTAATTGCTAAGGAGCTTGAAGGGGTATTACTATTCGTAGTGGCTGAGTCCTGTGGCACGGCAGGCGCTAGCCACTACCTGTACGGTACGGCGTGCCTTACGTAGCTGGTGCGCAGTGCGGTGGCTTCAACCGTAATCATAAATAAGGATGGCTGCATACCACTACGGTATCATCAATCATCATTGACGTCGTCTCTCGATTATTCTTCTGGTCTTGAGATACTATTGTTCGCTTTCGAACATTGCTTCATGATAGATTAGCAGTCCCACGGGCTTTGTTCTTACGGATATTGATTTCTAGAAAGATCATCGAAGAAAAGATCGTCGCCTGTATAAGTGACTCAGGTCTATATACATGATGGGGTCCGCGGAGCGTTCCCGTCTAAGTGAAATGCCTACACTTAGCTTACTGAACACGCTATTACCGTCCCATCATCATACGGGCACCGCCACCAGTCTTCTTTGTTCACTAAAAAGGGGAGCCATCATTCACCCCCCGTCTTCCAATAGGAGACTGTACCGAGCTTTGATTGACGACATGCTCCTACGGTGAAAAGGTAGCCACGAGTAGTGATATTCATGAAAGAGAGGTACAATAGGCGCCACTTACTGTGAACGCCTTGATGGAAATGAAGAGCATACTTAGCGAAAGATAATATGGAAGGGAAAAAAGACCTAACCCTGTAGCGGTATAGAGCTATTCTAATTACAGAAGGTGGGGTCACACTCGATCACACCTGATTAATTTGATTAATTAAGTCCAAATACTGCTGCTAATGACGTAAGCCAGAAATCCAATATAAAGCTACCCCTTGTTCACTACCTTTTCCGAGAGCATGTAATTGATCGCGGGTGTGATGTTCAAGGTCAGAGAGTCCTTGCTCCCGTAAAACATGACACTGGGAGAGCAGAATTATGCGGTTTGTGCGACCGCTGGCTAAGGTGAATCGCCTCAGGTTTTCCATAACTTCTGTCCAATGGCAGAAGGCCTCCCTGAATTTGGATCGAATGTGCGATAGGTTAGCCTGGACAACAGCGAGGCGTAACTTATCCATCTTCATGAGCTTTAACTGGTGCTAGGACACGTAGTGGGGTGCTTCGTCAACCTCCATGAATCTCTTTTGCGCAAAAAGGCATTCGGCCAGAGTAATGATCAGAGCCCTCTGTTTCAGCGCTTGACTGTCGATTAATGCCCGAAGACAGGTTTCAACCTCAGCAGGCTTGTCCAGCTCCAGAAAGGAAAAACCTCCCTAACTTTGGGGAAAAACTCAACAGTACCCCTCATATAAACCTGTCCGAACTGAATATCTTTAGCAAAGAGCTCTATCAGCCGACAATCTTGAATGCTTAGAAGGGAAAATATCATCGTGAAATGGATACTTGTAGGTAAGACATAGAGGAGCTCAAATAATTCGCGAAGATCGTCTTTCTGTCACCGCTTAAATTTAGGTAGATATAAGACTGGGTGTCTCAGCATGCACATGCATGGTGGTACGACAGTACGAAGAAGGGTCAGTGATATTACCTAGGTAAGAGCGTGTCAGACAAAAATGAGATTTGCGGAACACTCCACCGTGATCCAGCCCTGAACTATTTCTAGGTCCTATTGTATAGTGATCATTGCCGTGCCAACCTCTTAGCTAATTAACTACACCTGCACACCCAAGAGACAAGCCGTGAGAGTTGGCTCCGCTGTCACAGTGTGGGTTCTTCTACAGAATCTTGGATCTCGATTGGATACCGATTATAATAATTACCTGTATGGGTACTTTGAATATCTTATTACGTGTTTGATAATGGGCTTGAAATTCATGGTTCGGCATCGTATTGCAAGCAAACTCAAAATTACTATATGGTTACCTAGAAGTGAGTTCAGCTTCGTAATAGGCCGTATTGAGCTCTCTTTAGCGCAATGTGCCAACTTAGCCCGTATTTGGTCCGGCATTCCTGCAGACTGTACGCACGGACAGGATAAAACGGTGGACAGGGCGGATAGGCTTGAAAGGTTTAGACCGGAGGAAGTGCAACGCGCCCATGATGTCCATTTTATTTCAGAGAACTTTACAATAGTCTTCTGGGTGAACAACACGCCTAATTGTCATTGGACCCAAAGTTCTATGAGAAATCTTTTGGAAAATCCCAATTATGTGATGGCTGCCGGGGAATATTGATCGCGGTATCGGAAAGACGAAAATTGATAGATAAGAAAAGCACAGAAAGATATGACCAAGACATCCTGGCCATCGCGCAGTCTAGCCCCATGAGTCACAGTTCATATAATTGCCAGATTGGTCGCTAACACAAGCTGGCGCGGAAGCGTGGTAAACTTCCACCAACGGCCATTTTCAGGTAGAAAACGACAGGGACCTTGTAATTCATACAAAGAACTACTGTACTTATCAATACCACTCTGATGTTCATACTAAGCGAGGCGCGACGCTAGGCTTCCATTGTACGGTAAAAAGGCCAACTTCGCCCGAGTAATCACACGGAGTTCACAACACACGGGCACCAGCCGCCACTGTACCTACCTGGCATTGTGGTCACCATTGATCCTGCTCTTTTAAAGATAGAGTGGCAAGTTTGGTCATGAAAAAGACACACTCGCGCGATTGACGTGTTCTAAAGGACTATCAAAACAAACAGGGACTTGGAAGGAAGGACAAACTTACTCCTGACATGCTGATATACTAATCGGCGGCTTTACTTGTACCTTTTCTTCCTTTCCGAGCTTCCCACCTACGCTAGTATACACGATGTTGTCCGAACCTCCAGATGTGAAATAATGAATTTCTGATTTCCAAGATCTTGCAGTCTGAATTTTCTTTTTCTATTGGATCTAAGCGCTGTACTACTGGATGATGCAGGAACGCTAGACCAAATACGGGCAAAAATGGTACCTTGCGCCGATGAGGGCTTAAAAGAGCCTAGTACGAGGCTGGACCCAGGTCTCTAGTCGATTTTTGTTTGAATCTCCCCCAGAGCAGCAACACAACCCCAAACTATGAATTCAATAAACCACCGTCAAGAATGTTTTGTATTTTTCAAAAGTCCCCGTGGTCATCATAACCGGTATCAAAACGAACACGAGATTTTTTAACTAGCCTATAGGAGAACCCCGACCGTGCTAGCCGAGCTAATTCTCATGCATTATCCAATTCCGAGTTGGTAACACCAGCCGAGGGTGGGTGGGCGGCAGGCGTAGTTCACTAAGAAATTCTCGTGACGCTATTCTCGTGGCGCTGATCCATACAAACCTCGAGGAACCTATGCCAAGGATAGATAGAGAGAGGGCCTTCATGCACCCAAAATTGCAAGAAATCTCAGCTTACGCTATGAGAAGTACGAAGTACTTGCCCCACCTTTTTTATCACGCGGGATCGCTCGAACTAATGCTTGGTAATCATAGGGCGCTTCGAGGCTGAGAATGTATAAAACATTATTTAAAATACTAGTACATAGTTAAATGAGTATTCTAAGCCGCTGCGGGAGTGTGCACCAACAAATACATTGCTTCGTCGCTCTTGCTCTGTTTCATACACGGCTTGGACAATGTGCGGGATTGCTAATCTTTTTTCGTGGGTTTTTGAATTTTTGCCAGAGCCATCGTACTCGTCGGAAAATGTATTGTCTTTTTACTACATGCCACGAACTTTGACGTTAATGGGAGAAATGGCTCAAAAGCTAGAAATAACAAGAGCTCTCGAATATGGCGGCATAAAATGATGCAGAACAACAGGGTTGTATAGAGAATGAAAATGTGGCCAAAGACGGAGCCCATGAGAATAGTTCCCATCCTCCGTTGTCTATCTTCGGGGCAAACTCGAGAGGACACTCAACGATTTACCTGGGCAGATCTTCGAAAAGCTGCCTAGGCAATTGAAAGGCAAAATATTCCATTCATGCAAAATGTCCTGTCTGGGTCCAGTTGGTTCAAACGCAATTAAATATGCCATGATGACCTTCTTGTACGTTCGGATTTTCAGACAGTGGAACGTTACAATCGCTACGGGGTCAATGAGCTTATTGATCG